CCGAAGAGACCTCAGCCCAACCCTTATGACCCCACGTCATTACCCACAACACGCCATAAGGGCCAGCAGCACGGCCCTTCAGCCCCGGCCCCCACGCAGACCCTCGCTCACACAGCCAGGCCCTCCTGTCACAGTAACTCCGCTCCGTCACTTGAGCTTGTGTGCAGCCTATGTAATCACAGCAATTAGATACAACCGCTCTTAGCTGCATAGCTTAATTGCAACTAATGCACATCATTTCAATTAATTTTAATTATATGGAAAACGTGAAGAGTCTGTTATTCCATTGTCAAAATCGTTTGGGACAAACAAGATTAAAGTGCTAAATTTCATAAAGGGCCCGGTTATTAATTTTAACTTGCTAATGAACAAACGTGTCTCTGGGTTTTTGGAAGATGCGCTCCCCACTCGGCGAGGAAGCGCTGTGTGTTTGTGGCAGAGAGGTGGTCCCAACACCGCATGCAAAATGCACATCCCCCACTCTGCGCTCCCAAACAACACTTCTGCAGAAGTGGTTTCGTATTAATTAAAACTAACGTCCACTGCTGCCGAAATATCTGACAAAATACGCGTAAGCACGACGTTTACTTGGAGTAACTGTAGCTTATAATTAAGGCAATGATTTTTTTTAAGACGTCGAAGTCTACCCCCTACCAGATCCTTTCTATTTAATCTTTGGAAGAAAATGTTTAATGTTCTCTGGGCAAGTTTGCAAAGTCGTATTTTTGATATGTACTATTTTTATCTGCTCTTATAAATACCGCTCCCTTAGAAATAAAATGTTTCTGGAGTTTGCTAAATTAAAAGGGAAAGAAAACACTGAGAAACTTTGAGTCCTGTTTTCAAGCATAAAAGGGTTTATCTTATCTAGAGCAACTGGTACAGGATAACCAGCGTTATCTTATCGCCACATATTGATGTCAGGGTTTAAAAGGACTTGAGGCTGTTACGCTACATGGAGCAGAACTCCTACACTGATAAACACGGAAAAAGCCACAGTGCTCTAATCTAAACTACACCTCCTTTCTGCCCCAGACACACGTGAGAAGAGCCAGAAGCTCTTTCCTTTCACAGCACGCTGCTCCCAGCACCGGGCCCAGGGCCTGTGGCCGCCCCCATCAGGAACAGCACTGCTGCCAGGCTGCAGGGAGGGCATGGAACAGCGGTGTGATGCTGGGGCTGGTGGAGCTCAGGGGAAGCCAGGCTGTGCAGGAGATCCTGCTGCATTTCTAACCCATGCAGCCTTTCTGTGGGAGTGGTGCAATGAGGCAAAGGGCGGAAATGGGGAAGAAATAAGGATGTACAGTAGTGGTAAGCAGCATGAAGGTTCTTAGCAAGGACCAAAGTACGAGGCTGAGGCAGTCACGCCACAGTTGTTCAGCATGCAGCGTGTAGGACAGCCACATAACGTATGCACGAACTCAGATCTTGACACATCTCGCCTGCTTGCGCAATTCCAATTAAATTTGGGTGTATTAATCTCTCTATTTTTAATAAAAATTCACTCGTGCACACCTCCCATTTCTGCCAGCTGCAGATAAAACACCCAGCCAGCCCTCTGCTCGTTTGATCCTAAGGTGAAGCGATCAAACAAGCTTGCACCCTCACTGACAGATCACACAGAATGAGAAAGTGGGCTGCAAGGCAGATTAGTGAAATAGCTTCTATTACAGCTTGAAGCAAGGCCATACGCATTCTTGGCAAGTTTCTTTTACAATAAGCCCAACTTTCCTCCTTCGGATTTGCTGTGGTGCCACAGTCCCTTTCCCTGGCACTCGGGATCACCCCTGGGTGCTGCAGCTCTGGAAGGATTGAGGTTGCACTGTACCGCAAGCTGCATGGGCTGCTTTTCTTTCAGCAGAGCTGCTCCTTCCAGGCGTAGATGTCACGATGCATACAGTACAGCATGCATCCTCTCCACATCACCTTGAGCTGACGAGTGATTTCCAGCCACGTGGCAGCAGGGACACTGCAGCTGCAGTCCTGGGGACTGAGACCCCGCTCACTTTCCATGCTTTTTTTTTTTTTTTTTTTTTTTTTTTTTTAATAAAAAACAGGAGGAAATTTTACCAATTAAATGTGTGGGGAAGCAGCAAGTTTGGATCAGACGCGCACAGCAGCTGCCACAGCATGACTGTGCCGCACAGAGAGGCTGCAAGCTCTTTAGTAAGACAGAATTATCATAGCACAAGATTAGCTCAGATATCATAAAGCACAGTTCCACTTCCAACAGCTCCCCACCAGGAAATCTCCGCCCATCCCCGCAGCTGAGATGCTATCTGCCTTGCAGCATTAATTGTGCTGGCCTGCCACTCTGGAGTGCTTTCTGTAGGCAGCCCGACCGAACAAAGCTGGGCAGCGCAGGCATTCCCGAGCTGGGGTGGGTACTCTGAAAGTGAACAAATGCAAGTCATGCAGTTCTGCTGAACCTGTGGTTTAAAGCTTCTAATTGCTAACTTTCATCTTTTACCAGCATAAATAATAAATGTGGCATGTTCCCCATTTTCCATCAGCACCACATTATTAAAGCAATAAAACAATTTCAAAGGTGTGGTTATCATGAGCTAATGGCACCTCCAGGGGATTGGTAACACCCCAGGAGACTTCTTCGTCTTGAAAAAGCCAGCACCCCCTGTCAGGCTCTATTAGCTCTGCTCTGGGAAAGTGTGCACAGAGCTCCCTGCTTGTGCTCAGCCACTCTGTGTGCAGGACAGGGGAGGATTCCATCAGAAGAGGGGTGGTCAGCAGGGACAAGGAGGTGATTGTCCCCCTCTACTCCGCTCTTGTGAGGCCCCATCTGGAGTACTGTGTCCAGGTCTGGAACCCTCAGTACAAGAAGGACAGAGAGCTGTTGGAGAGGGTCCAGAGGAGGGCCATGAAGATGATCAGGGGACTGATCATCAGGGGAGCACTTCTCCTACAAAGACAGGCTGAGGGAGCTGGGCTTGTTCAGCATGGAGAAAAGAAGGCTGCAGGGTGACCTCATTGCAGCCTTCAGTAGCTAAAGGGATCCTATGAACAGGAGTGGAGTCAACTCTTTGAAAGGGTAGATAACTGCAGGACGAGGGGAAGTGGTTTTAAGTTGAGGGAGGGAAGGTTTAGATTGGATGTCGGGGGAAGTTCTTTACTATGAGAGTGGTGAGGTGCTGGAACAGCTGCCCAGAGAGGTTGTGGATGCCCCGTCCCTGGAGGTGTTCAAGGCCAGAATAGACAGGGCCTTGGGCAGCCTGGTCTAGTATTAAATGTGGAGGTTGGTGGCCCTGCAAGTGGCAGGGGGGTTGGAGATTCATGATCCTTGAGGCCCCTTCCAACCCTGGCCATTCTGTGATTCTGTGAGGTGACACCACAGAGGCACAGCCCTCAGCACCTCTCCAGCCCAAGCTGGTGGGGAAGCAGGAGGTGCCCCCAAGGGAGCCTGCCTGGCAGCATCACCTCATGAGGCTTTGCAGAGCCGTCTGTGAAGCTAAGCCTGCTCCCTGCTCACCACTGCTCCACAGATATCTTTCTCCTCTTGCTTCCCGACAGCTCCTAATCTTGGCGTGACATCACTGGGAATTACAGTTATAGTACCTACTGGAGTGTTAAGACTAAGCTATTTAGCACATCAAAACAACAGTATTAGCAAACAGACCTTCATTTAAGGTAATTATGCACCAAGGAGACCGCCTTATCTTTCATCTCCTGTTTATTTTGCAGACAACCACCCAGATTCTTTAAGTAATACCTTCCCTGCTCTCAGTTATCAAATCAGGGTGGAGGTGGAAGGCAGCTGAGCGCACTCAGCTCTACCAGCAGAAGGTGGGCAGGTGGGGGCTGATGAGGGGAGAGCTTCCCACCCCCACCTTCAGCCAGCCAGCAGCTGGGCTGCTACGGAGCACCCATGCTGTGGCACTTTGTGCAGCCTGGAGAGGAGATGGGGTTAGGAGAATGTGTGCTGCACTGCCTTGGTCCATAGAGGCTTCCAGAGAGTTCAGCAGAGCACAGGTGATTGTTAGTTGCTGTTGCAAATGATCACACTGAATGTTAAATTTCTGTAGTGCCTCTCTGTTGCTATCACCTCCAGTAAAGATAAAGGGGATGAAGGGGGGGAGGATATGGAGAACAGCTGTGTGCTAAAGCACATCGACTTTGAAGGTCAGTATGAGGTTAACAAGGCCTTTAGATTCACATTTCTGTCCTTCTCTATGTGAAGGGCACATGTGAAGCCAGCTGTAGTCCCTGGAAGGCACTGATGTGACTATGGAGCAGTGCTGTGTAACCACACCACCCAAAAAGCACAGTAGGAGCTGAGCTGCTTGATTCCATGCTCTGCTCAAAAACAACCAGGGACAGAGGGATCCTGGGGACATCTAAGTGTCTCTTTCCACCACAGCATGAGTGGAAAAATGTGACTCACACCACAGAGATGGTGAAGCAACAGAATTCCTGAGAGGAGAGCTGCAAACTGGATAGGCTTTGTTGTGATGGCTGTGAGGACCTCACTGGTGGATCGCCTCGTTGTAAAGGTAACAATGCCTGCCCTGCTGTGGTTGAGGGAAGGTTGGCCAGTCTGGGCTCTTCAGGGCTGAGTTATGGGGATGCAGGCTGTGCTTCCATCATGAATTCAGCACATGGGTAAAATAGAACTGTTTAAATTCATTCATTGCTTCACCTTTTCTTGTTGTAAGAGATGACTTTCACAATTGGAAATCTGCTATTCCTTTGATGGGTGTATTTATAGCATTATGTGTCTGAATTAAAGGACAAGAAATATTTTCCAAAGGTTACAACCAAGAAATGGAAAACTGGTGTTGTATGGACAGAAAATAGGGTGGAAATTATATATCCAACCAGTTTCCAAACAGGGTTCAGGAGTGGTCTGTAAGTTAGCATGAGCTCATATGTGGTAAAATAAAACAAATAGGAAGAGGAAAGTCTCATAATGTTCAGAAGTTAATCCAACTATGACTGATAAGCAGAGCGACTGGGGGAGTTATTTGGGGTTTTATAGCTTTTTCATGTGTGTCTGAAGGAAACATTGATTGAAATCCTCATGGATATCGGCGCAGTCACTCAGATGAAGAAAAGCATGAACTGTAAACAAAGGGCTGCAAGAAATGAATGTGTAGTGCTGCAGAGGGACGTCCAGGAACGCATTATTCATTGGTAGACTAATAGAAAGAGTGAGCTGGGATACCAGGAGACTTCACTGACTGAAATGCTAAATGGGGAGAGTCCAAATGAACCCAGAGGAACAATACCAAAAAAGGACCTAGATAGACTAGAAAGAACAAAATACTGAGATTTAATGTGGAAAAAACTGTAAGTAAACCTGTCTGGGGAAAACTAATCCAAAACACAGATGTTCCACTGGAGACAGAAATCTTGAAAGCAGTTGTGTTACAGCAGACCAGGAATGACAAGGGAACTGATGGTGAATCCCCGGCACAGCAGGGCACACTGCCTGCTCTGCAATGCCCCCACAAGGTGCTGTGTGAGCCGCACAGATAACACACGGTGCAGGCAGCTGGGAGAGGTGCAGCCCAATTATGACTGCTGTGGAGGAAAGAACTTATTCAGCACTCAGTACGGTGTGAGGTCAGAGATGAGCCCATAAAGACTGAAACAGAAGCACTGTGTGCTCAATAGCATGGCACGCTTAAAACCAAACAAAGAGCCAGAAACCCAGCAGCAGGCCGCCTGCGTTGCAAAGGTCAGGTGTGCCACAAGGCCGTCCTTCGTCGTTCATTGTCAAATTTCCTCTCAGATATCTACCTCTGACTGACAGACCGAGCTCCACGCAACGGCAACAGCTGAAAAGGATCTGACAGTAACTTCCTCAAGAATGCGTTGTCTTAAGAAGAAGCCATTAGATGAAAGGTAATTAATGAAATGTTCAGGTACAAACTCTCAGAAATGTTAATCAGGACATGGAAAAGGTAACTCTATTCTCTGCTGGGTGGCAAGGCTGCTGCAGACAGCCCAAGGCAACAGCTCAGATGGTGGTAAGGCTGGCGCTTTCCCAGCAGAGCTGTATGTGGAAGCACAGCTGTGCGTGGCTTGGACAACTCAGGCACACAGCACAGGCACGACTCAAAGCCTGCTGATGGGGTTTGATGCCCTGCATGGCCTCCCTTGGGTGCTGGTGTGTCCCAGCAGTGGCTTAGGCTGGTGGCAGCACGAGCTGCCAACCACAGGAATGCGTGGTGTGGCGAGCCCCGCTGCCAGCTCCTCTTTTCTTCCCAGAGATGGATCGAATCCAGTTTGGGAGGAGAGGCGGCTGGTGGCAGAGAAGCCATTGGGGAGCATTTCTTTCCACGTTTTGTCTAGGAGACCGCCGCAGGTCTTGCAGGGCGTTGCGGGGAGGGATGCAGAGGACTCGCAAGGACGCGGTGATGCTGAGCGGCGCCCGCGGGTACCCACCCCCACGGGCTCCCCCAGGGCCGCGTTCCGAGGCTGCCGCAGACCCACATTGCCACCTAGTGCCAGAGGAGCAGGCCGGCCGCGGGCACCCAGCGCTCCCGCACCGCTCCCCGGCCGGCTCTTCCTCTCGCTGCAGAACCTTCAGGCGAGGTGGGGGTGGTAAACCTTGCACTGTCCTGCTGAAGACGCAGAGCTGGCACGCTCAGCTGAAAGGATTCGCTACTGGATCCTGAAAACCAAGCAACCGACACAGTGCTGCTATTAAACTTGCACGGTGAAGTGGCCATCTCTGCTCAGAGAGAGCTCGTGGCTTTCTGGCCCAGTACAGCTGAAGTTTGCCGTGCAGAGCAAAGTCATCGGCCCTTGAGCACCTCAGGAAGGAAGGGGCAAAGCCTGAAGGTAAACATCTTCTGCACACATCCTGAACTTCTGTCAAGAGAGCTCATGGAGAACAAGGTGCTCGGAAGCACCAGCCAATGCAGTCAGCTCCTCAGCCCATGGTGCTCTGAAGTTCGGGTTCATCAGGTGGCAGGAAGCAAACGTGGGCTGCTTTGGTAGCTGGAAGTTAGCATGGTCCAGGGGACTTGAAGAACACTTCACCTACAGCCCATTGAACTGCTGCTGCAACATCCACTAAGTGAAGCTGTGGCCCTGAAAGCAGAGCACCCCTTTACTGTGGCAACGAAAACTTTATCTTGAAGTGGTTACTAGAGGATCTTTTTCCTCCAATACCAGTATGGCTTTGAAATCCATTCGTTCAAGACTTGCCACAATAGAAATTATAGCCACATTCTTCTCTCAGAAAGAGGCAAGTCCTGCCTGAGAAGAGTTAGTTTTTCATGACGTTCAGTCTCAGCTTCTGCACAAGGTGTTAAATACTGCCTCTCTGGTGTAGACCGAGGACCAGCTTCCTCCTCAGCATAATTCTGCCTAAGCCCATGCATTTACACTGGGGATGAATTTTGTCCATAAGGTTTGTGATTCTTACGCAGAGGCTTATTGACAAGCACTGTTCTGAAGACATTTACATGCAGCAAGGCTCATAAGCCAGCGAACATCTGTTCTCTCGTTAGCAGCCTCCACAGCATTTGCCCTGTAGGCAATAATCTACAGGACAAGTTTCCCAGCACCTAAACTACTGTAGGATAATTCTTTAACTAAATGGAAAGCAAAGCCCAAGGCCCTGGGAATTCGCTTTTGTACAATAATCTTTTGTGTGCATACAGTGGAAACCAGAGGATTACGGAGTCAAATCATGAGAATTCAGGTCAAGTGAGATTTGAGGGGGAAGGAGAATCTGACAGCAGCACCAGGGGGAAGGTAAGGATCCCAGGGGAGGTAACGTGACGCTTGTAGATAAGCCTGCTCTCGCCTGTTCTGCTGTCACGGTTTAATTTTACACATCAGTATTAAAATTTCTCAGCTTTGCTGAACATCAGCTCTCTCTTTACTGTACAAAGTTCTTCTGTATCGTGGTGTTTTTCTTTTCCAGTTAGCAGTTGCATTATTTTGGACTACCTTCGTGCCTTGGTTATTTTCTTTCACCATCCCTCCATTTTCTAGCTCTTTTACTGTTTTTCTATGATCTGAAAGTGTATTTAAAACTCCTTCCTCCATTCCTCTCCTTGTTAGTTTTTTCATTCCTATACCCTTAGCCTGGATTGAGGGCTTTGGAGATCCTCTAGATATACAAAGTAATTCATTTACCTCCCCTGGACATTTACTTTCTGGAAGGAAGGAAATGTCATTAAAGAAAAGTACAATGAAAAATGTGATGCTTCTTTTTCTGGCAAGGGAGTGATCTGAACATCCAGACTGACACCCAGAAACTGTATTCAAAGGGCTGCCAGCTCTTCCTACTGTGCAGACAGACCCAGCTGAATCCAATCAACTACTTAACATGAACTCCACTGGTGTAGGATGTTAAGCTGATGGGATGATGTGCTGTTGGGTAGTGGCTGCTGAGAAAACAGGGGAATAGAAGGTGCTAAAAATTAGAGATGTAAGCAGAAGAGGGAAGTAGGACCTAGGAAAATTCTGTCTTCTGCAAAACTGAGCAGAAGTGAAAACAAGGATTTCCTTTATTCTCTAAGAAGCTAGGCAATGTGGAAGAAAGGTTAAGTTTTGTGTGTGGCCTAAAATCCTGTCTCAGTCACCATGTGTGGGACCTGGAACAAAATACTTTCTCTACCACTTTTGAGAGACCTAATATGCTAAATGAGACAGGAGTGAGCCATGGCACAAAGCAGCTTCCTCTGCAGCGGTGAGGGGAGCAGGGGTCTGGAGGCACTTGAAGGATGAAAGGACTGTAGGCTGGGAAATGCTGATATTTTTCTTTCCTGGTCATAGCATTTTCTGGGAAAGCAGTATGAATCTGCATGGATAGGAAAGCTTCATTATACGAAAGCTGTACGTGGTGCTATGTTATGTATTTATGCTAACTGGTGTACCATGCATTTATTCACTGTTGTCTTATCTGACACTGGCTATGCCCTGTCTCAATTCTACATGCAGACTGTGTCACTTAAGAAGATACAGCAGCAAGCACTTTGCTTCCCAGTTCTCTGTAAGAGAACAGAACACAGTCTCGGTCTATCACATGCAAAAAATAGTGCTTGCTTTAGTTGACTTGCGTTCTACAAAATAATGTGTATTATTGCCCTGGAAACTGCCACAATCTTGATTGTTGCAAAATCGTATGTCAGAAAAATCTGGGACTTGCTTTATTGTCCGAGGACTCTTTTATTTCCTCTGTGTGTTTTGTGGAAGCCCCAAGTTGTCTGCCCACATGCTGTTTTTCCTTGTACCATTGAGAGATTGTGTTCTCACTCTTATTCCTTTGTGTTCCATTTCCAGTTGGTTAGTTCATCTCTTCCAAGTGAGTGTGATGGGCCAGGGAAGGAGGCAGTAAGGATCGTGTAGGGCGCAGCCTGCAGTTTGAATGGCGTGTTTTCAAAAGTACAGTACTGAACACAGATGGTATGGATTGTATTCGCTTGGTCTGCAGGGAACTACATCCTGTATTGGATGAAATGGTTTGACTTCTATTGAAATGCTAATGTCTGTCCATTTCCTCCAGCAAAGTGAGTCTCATTATTTCTCATTGTAGCCTACGTTTACCCTTCCTCCAGTCTCCATCACCCTGACCCCAGAGTTTCTGCTTTTCAAATATGCGCTTAAAATTTGTCTGCTATGTGATCGTTTTATGAGGTGATACCACGAAGTTTAAGTATGCGTTCCAGCTGTGCTAGTGACCCTGTCTGTAAACCAAGGAGGTTGGCTTAGTACACTCTTGCCCTCTCGCTTAATGTGACTTAAGACAAGAAGACACAGATCCAAAGTGCAAAAGTGAAAGAGTGAAAACTCAGACTAGACACTAGAAAAAGGAAACTCTAAGTGAAACTGACTTTTTATCTCTTTGTGTCTTCACGTTGACACTACATTAGGAAGGCTGACATGAGATATCCCCAGAGGCCCAAATCCAATTTTCAATCAAATGTAAAAGACTGGCTTGTAAAGGCCAAGAATGAATTGGTTCTGCCAGAAGAAAAATTAGCACAGAAACAAGCTTATTTCCAGAGAATCCACTAAAATAACTCTGTGACACCTTAATAGGGATTGTCCTTGTCTGGTTGCTTTTTTGTTTGTTTTTTTTTTCCAACATAGTGGAGGTTCAGGGCCAAACTGTATGAGGAACACATACATGTTGCATAAGTAATTTGTTGTCGAGATTACTTCAGTTAGCATTGATATGGGCTGCTCTTTTTAATTCTTTGAGTCTATTTTAACACTAATCTCCAAACAAATACTTACAAAAGCTATACAGATGTCTGTCCCACTTACTTCCATTTTCATCTGTAAGAAGCTGCAGAGATTTTGTTCTGCTTAGCTGTCATGCTTCTTCTTAGCACCAAGTTCTCATATTGCTGCAGTTCTAGGCCGTTTGTTCTTGCAGGAGAAGATTTAGGTCAGTTCCTTTTCAGTCTTTTGTGATTTGTGGACCTCTAAATTTTCCAGTAGTAATGCAGACTCCTTAAGGAATTTCACATATGTAGCACGCTGTCTGGCACAAATGAATTTGCTTTTTCTTCTTCGCTTCGTGCAGACTCTAGTTTAGTTTTCCATGGGCTTCCCAGGCTCTGCAGGACGTGAGCTGGAAACCAATGATTTAGGTGAGCTCTTGAGCTATTAATCCTCCACGTACACACTGGTGTACTAGATGAGAATGCCATGAGTAACATCAGTGCAAATATTTGGGAGTTATTGTGACTTCCAGTGCTTTACAGTTTCAAACCTGAATGCAGGATGTGTATGGAGGTCAGTGTTCACATAGACAAGAAATACGTGGTGAAGGTGAACCAAAACCCACACTGTCCTCCTGCTTCACTAGCTTTGGATGAGGAACTGTGGGCATTCCAGCATCCTCATAAATTGCAACCAGTTGCCTTCAGAGCTTTTGCTATCAGGTACTACATGCTCTTTGGTTTTTCTAAGCCTAGATCAAATCACATGAGGATCTACGATATGACTCCGTTGGATTGAGCTCAGGCTGAGAAGGAAATGTGGGATAAAACCCATACATAAATCAACTTTCTCCCAGCACTGTTTCATGTACCAAATTCTTCTGTCCAATGAAAACTGGTATGCTTCTAGACACCATCAACACCTCTCTAAGGGCTGAGAGGTTGCTATTAGTAAGAAACGCCATACTCAGTGCAGGGGGTTGAGCTCCTTATCCTTTCTAGCCCCAGTATTTGCACAACAGCGGAGTACCGTGTCTTCTCCCACCCATAACTTTGCTGTTGGTCAGCTTTCTTTGCTGCAATTGAGAATGCTGAATCAAATGAAGGATGTAAATAGGAAGTGACTTGGTCTAGGCAGAGCTCTGGTTAGGAAAAGGAATTGGGTGAGACATAGAATGGTTAAAAACAGAAGTGAGAATAATGCAGCAGTGATGATGCAAAGTGAAGAGAATGTAGCTAAGAGTTCTAGCTGCATGGATAGGGAGAGAAAATCCTGTATCTGATCTGTCATACAGGAAGAAACTATAAATGTGGACGCTTCTTAACAGGAGGGCCCAGAACAAGGTCCAAGTTGAAGCTGACGTCTGACTTGCATTTATTCTGTCTCTCCTTTACTTGGCATCTGTTGTAAACCCACTGTTGCCCAGACTGGGACTGATCTCAAGGTCATTGTTTTGATTCTGCGCTTATCCCTCCTGCCAAGAATTTTATAGAGCTTGGTGTTCTTTATAATGAAAAGATACTGCCCATCAGCTGATACTTCCAGATTTTCAATTTTCTTTTTGGCCTCCTAAGGCTTTAATATGAAACTTTCCATCTCGCTGTCCATCAGAACCACTGCTCCTGAATTATGGCCAATTTCCTCTTAATGTCCACAGCAGGGATTTTTAATAAATCAAAATAGCAAAAAACAATGCTGGCCTATTCCCATCCTCCAGTGCTGATGGATTTAATTCCCTGCCAATAATAAGCCAGACAGGACATTATGGAACCTTTTGTTCTTGTACAGCTGGTGGAAGATAGACTCTTCCCTTTCTCTGGAGGCATCTCATTCTAAACCAGACCAGCATGTAAGCCTGTGTCTCCAAAGGTAATGCAAAATAAAAATAATAAGGCTTCTCTAGCGTATGCTATTGAGAGGAAGTTAGAAAAAGATTGGATGTTCCGTTAATTCCATTTTCTGTTCTGAAGATGATGTAATTTAGAAAATGCTACCATTTACCAAAACAATGACTAGACTTTCAGCCACGTACTGCAGTTCATATCTAATTCTCACCTAGTTTTCTTTGTTTTGATGTCCATTTAAAAATCACTGCACTGTATAATGCATAAAATAAATTTCAGTTAACATCTAGTCTGCATGTTGCCTAACCTGCTGCTCTGTCCCACTCTGATTTAAATTCAACATTTAGGAGGAAAGAACTGTCTGTATCATTTCAATTTCCTTTGGTTACTCTTCCCATCTCTGAATGTCTTTTCTCCATATCCAGCATGACAATTTATTTGTCCCCTCTAACAGAAGCAGTATTTGCTGGGGTTGCTACATGGCAACCATACAGTCCATGTCAAAGATGCTCAACTGAGAGGAGATCTGCAAGGCAGACTTCCTGGATGGGTGAGCTGCTCCGAGGGACCACAAGTACACTTTGTATACCAGAAGCATACTTCTGGCATATCAGAAGTGTACTTGGTATACCAAAGTATACTTCTGATCCCTCAAATGAGTTGAAATCTTTCAGCTGCTCCTTTCCAGGAGGAAGGCACAGGAAAACCTTGCCTCAAGAGCCTGCTGCTACCATCCTCTACATGGTCAACAGATTACCTGCAGCTTTCAATGTTTTGGTTCATGAATTTATTGTGCTTTCATAGTAATTCAAAGCTTTGCCTGGTCTAGATAAGAATACAAGGGATGCCCTGAAAGTAATCTCTCCTAGTGGATTATTTTGGCCCATGTCAACAGAGGCACATGGTGGAGATATGATAGAGGTTGAACCTCCCCACCAATATCCCGCTACATTTTGTTGCTGTGCAAGAGATGGCAGCAGAGGGGCAGTCTGACAAAACGTCTGCTGCAGTTCCCATGGAAATAAATGGGAGGCAGTACTTTTGGAGCAAACAAAGTATTTTCAGCTGATATGAAGTTTTCTGACAGCAACTGCAGTGGTGCACCGCTGGTACAATGCAGCTAAAAATTTAGATGTTTTTTGGAATTCTGAGCGTCTCTTCTGCAATTCAGAGCAGTATGAAAGCCCTGCGTCTGAGGCTGTCCAACACTGGATTAGTGTAACGTATGGAGATTTTTTTCCATTCTGACTGTCCATAATCACAAGTTCTGGATCAACGACGTTCACAGTGTTGGCTTCCATTGCTTTTCTTGAAGTAAGAGAAGCAAACTTACACTTCGAATTGATAGGACAAAATAAATAATATATTACGGATTTTGTCTTTCGGATTTGGAGTCTTCAAGAATACTTTTACTTAAGTAATTATCCCATAGAGAATTTTACTGTCAAGTAGAAGATAACTAGGCACTATTTTAGTAATATTTCTAACGCAGTGGGTGAAGGATTCACGGTATCTGGACTGTGTGATTATTTTAACTGCTGTGTAGATAAAAGCAAAAAAAATGTGAGCAGTGAAATGTGGAAAATGTGCATATATATTATGACATTATTTCTCAGTTTTCTTTTTCTCTTACTCCTTAGTCTGGGAATGGTGTTTAGATCAATTTTCTTGTACAGTAAGTGTACGGTGGCCACTTGTTCAAAGCAAAATTTCTGTTCTCAGAGCCAGCAAAACTTCTCTGCTTTAATGGACTTACAGACATCCTACCTGGGGCTGGTATTCCCTGCAGACCTATAGGAAATCCAGTGACGCTCCTGGCCAGCTCTTCTGCGGATTTTCTGTGTCCTTTTCGTTACCACGTTCAGCTGCTGCCCTTACTCATAACCTAGCTGAAATTGCATACAGCTGTGACCACATCTGTAACTTCTCTCCCCAGAGGCCCTTTCTCCCAGAGGATGAGATGAATGTATTTCTCCACTCAGCTACTCTGAAAACTCTTTTCCAAGGGATGTGTCCTCTCTGAACTTGGCAGGAATGCGCTTGACATTAATTGTAGGACCAGGCAGTGCTACTTCTGACCGTTTGTGAGGGAACAGCTGAGAAGTTTCATTCTCAACACGGTGCCTTTGGCTCTGGTTGGAATGGTATATTGCTCACAAGATACAGTGACACGTACAGCGTGGAGAGTTATGTCCTTTGTGTGGATCATTTATACACGTTTACACATTTTTACTTTCCAGTGGTGTTAATTTGGCACCCCCTGGAGGAAATATGTTTGAAAACACTTGAAGGAAGACAATATTAATTTTAATCCCTTTGAAACCAATGTTTTAAACAGACTGGAAATTTTCCCAGTAATCTATGGAGAGAGGCCTTTGCAGAAATGTTCATGTCATTTTTATCTGTAGGCAGTTTTTCATCCTGAGATGACACATGCAATTTTTTTCCTCCTTAGACTAAACGTGTCAGTCTAAGACTCTTACTGGAAGTGCTGGAGAACTAAGCAGTCAAAAAGGAAACCTAGAATGGCATCCATAAATGGCAATCTCCAAAGAGTCAGCCTTGAGCCTGCCACAATCACTTCCTTTGTTGGACAGAAATGACCACATCCTGGGCCTCAGAATTAGCTACAGACTTAAATGTTCAGAAACTAAAAAATGCCAAAGGTTTTATTTGTTTTGCCCCTCCAGTCTCTATTTAAAAAAATACATCTGCAAAATGAAAATATGTATTTACACAGCTTTAAATGCAAATAGGGTTTAAACAAAATAATTGGATGTTAGTGATTTCTAAAAGCAAAAATAAACAAGGTTCATATTATTATTACTATTATTATTTAGCTCACTTCAATAAATACCTGATTGTATTTACAAATAACTTCAAAAGGAAGCTGTGAAGCCGTGTCATATATGAGTGCAGCATCCAGCAAGCTAACCTGTGAAGTGTGAACAACAATTGTATGATTTCAGTCTGTGTTTGCCAGCTGGGCATACAGCAGTCTCCTCAGTGCTCCTTCTGCCCCAGCAACAGAGCTTAGTCATGGTCCCTGCTGGGAGGGACTTCTTCCAGGAAAATGTGGTGTTTCAATAGCTCCTGCATGCGTGATTTTGGTGTGTTGGTTTCACTTTGTTTCCCTGGAAAGTCTTCTGCATTTCCTAGGGAGTCTGCAGTCTGCACGATCCAGAGCCTGAAAATTAATTCCATATAGAATGATTTGGATTGTAGAAAGAAGGGAGAGGGAAAGTATATTGCTAAAGAAACGTTAACTGATGGAAGAGGTGGGGAAGACAGACTCTAGAGGAAAATTCCTGTCTATTAAGCCCAGCTCAAAGCAATGTCTGGTACAGAACGGGTCTGTTCATGGGCGGCTTCTTTGGAATGCCTTGAAAACCACCCTGAGCTGGGAGGGACGTGTCAGTGTGCATCGAAAGCAGCCATAGCAGCCTGCTGTTCAACTGCACAGAGCAGCAGATCACTATATCTCTAATTATTATTTATCTGACTGGCTAAGCTGTGCAGCATTTAAAACCTAATTTGTTGTATAATTTAATTTTAATTGAGTCTCCCATCCACACAGGACTTGTTAAGCTAGCTGTGTGTTTCACTTGCTGCCTTTTTACACAGTACAGGAGAGCTGCAGGAGCTGAACCAATCGTTTGCTCGCACTGTGCTATCACCAAGGTGCAGTAATTCCTCGGTGTGATTGCAAAGGGATCTCTTGGCAGGAATATTTAGAAAATGTTTTCTCAGTGCCTCAATGTAAAAAAACAACTTCCTTCTTCAGCTAATGCTGTGGTTTACACAAAAGATTTGGTTGTTGGGCTTTCAGTCGCATCTCCCATGCGCTGCTATTTTTCTCTGCCTCTCAGAGATAACAATGACTAGTAACTGTGAGCAGTAATAAGAATGAAGTGCTATGAAAATGCTTTTGAGTGATAGTAACCTCCACTTATAACTTCTCTTCAAGTGTATAAAAGGCACTAGTCCTCAGTGAGAACTAAGTTAAAAGTAAGAAGGGCATTTTATAGGCAAATACTTTGTAAGGAATACAGACAGGCCCCAAAGAACCAATTCTTGAAGGTCAATAATGCAAAGCTTTTAAGTACATGCATCCCTTTTGACTTACGTGGGAGCTTATGATTTCTCTTGAACTGAGGCTCATGTGATGGAGAACTGTAAAGTAATACTGTGCTTTATGCATTGGATAGAACTGATAATTTCGCTTGTATTCATAGAGCTGAAGGGCTCTCTTACACAGGCTAGTGTTGCTGTGAGGCTCTTGTGGCCAAAGGGATCCACAGGGTTTTCAGGGAAGGCCAAAATGAAGGCAAAATCTGAGCACACAAGTCGCATCAAGTAGCAGTATCACAGTAAAGAAATGCAAATGTTTTGGGTTTTTGTTTTTTTGGTGGTTTTTTTTTTCAGTGTTTTGTTTTTGTTTTCAATATTTTATAATAGAAACTCAAGAACCTTTTGGGGGATGAGAGGGCAGCAAATTGTTCTCTGCATCTGTTTGTATGGCATGACTAATGTAAGAAGCTAACCAGCAGTATCTAGGCTATCTCAGCTTCTTCCTGCTCTATTTTGGTGTTCTTAAAGCTGTCCAAGTCCTTTGCATGAGTGTAATAAATGAATGCACATCCAGAATGTTGCTACTGGTGTTGTGTGCAAGGACAGCAATCATCTGTCCAAGAAGTCACCTTACCAGGGGTTCTAAGTGGCCTGAGATTGTGGTACAATGAGTACGAATACTCTAGGAAAAAAAAACCTGAATCAGATCCAGAGAAACAAGGGACAGACTGACCAACAAGTGGTATCAGTGATAATGCTTTATGAAAGACCACCAAATTATAGGTACTGTCTTTACAGCCTTTGGGGAGCAAGGAAGCAGTTAGGTTAGTGGACTGGAGTTAGATTGTGTGATCCTTCAAAGGTTAGATCAAGGAAAGAGGGAGTGATGTGTAAGAAAGAGGACATCTTTCAGGAGACCCCGAGGAAGGAGCTCCAAGCAGGAGGATGATGCAGCCACTGGAAGGAAGGCAGCTGCCAGCAGGCAGGCACTAGGGCCAACACCTTCCTCTTGTTCCCTTTGAATACTTCGCTGCTTTTGTTTTTGAGCAGGTTTGGAATTTTTTCATCAATTTCCTGCAGCTGTAGAAGACGACATTAAAGCGGGGCCCAAACTACAACCTTACACCTCACATCAGAAAGCAGAGATTTAAAACCAAGCAACCAAAACAAAACCCTCGCTACTTTGCTACAATCTTTGCAATAGTATAAAAATGAGGTGGCGTGGGGGGTAATGAAGAGCAAAGAGATGATTCTTTAAGTGTTTGCTTCCATCCCCGCTGGCAGGTATGTCGGAGCTTCCTCGCTGATTAACGCTGGGGCTCTGAGCACAGCTCCGTCAAAGGAAACAGATTCTGCCGTAGTGCAAACGCTATTTCTACACCACTTCTCTAGTACAGGAAATATGCTTTTATTTAACCGTTGCAAGCTAACAACTCTTACATATCGAAGAGTTAAACGAAACGTATTGTTTACTACACGGGACCCAGCTCAGCCACGTGCCGCCGCCCATACGTTGCCGAGACACTCCCATCCTGCCCGCATCAAAGATGGCGCCCGCCATATTATTTCACCTGCGGGTCGGCCCACACCCAAGATGTCCGCCGAGGCGTCTCCGGTGCCCTAATCTCGCCATCATCCTTCCGGCGTCCGCGGAAGAGGCGACGCTCTAGCAGGTGTGGCTCGGTGGTGGGCGCCGGAAGGTCCGCCTCTGCCGCCGCCGCTTTCTCTATGGCCGCCGCGCGCCGCCTCCAATGGGAGGCCGGGCCCCGCCCCGCCCTGATCAGCTGAGGGTGGCAATGTCTGTTGACAGGAGCCGCCTCGGCCGCGGGACTGGGCGTAAGGGCCGGGCCGAGGGGAGGGGGCGCCGCGTCCGAAGGGGCGGGTGGAGGCGGCGGGGGGGGCCGCGGTACCCCCTGCCTACCGCTCGGCGCCGAGGGAGCGGAGCCCGCTGGGGGGCGGAGGGCGGAAAGTTGGGGAGAGAAGTGAGCGGGGGGAAGGAGGCCGCCCCGGCCCGGTGCTCCTCAGGCGGGGAGCGGCCCTGCGGGGTGGGGGCGGCGGGGAGCGGAGGGGGTGGGCTGGCGGCAGGGGGTCGGGGGGCGAGGGGAGGGGAGAGGAGAAGAGCGGAGAGGAGAGGAGAGGAGAGGAGAGGAGAGGAGAGGAGAGGAGAGGGCTCTGCCGCTGCACACAAAAGGAAGCGGGCAGGGCCGGGAGCCCCGGGGGGCTGAGGGGCGGCGGCGCGCGGGGGCCGGGGCTCGGGCCGGCCTGCCGGGGGAGCGCGAGCCGGCTCCCAACGGGTCCCTCGGCCCCCGGCGCCGTGCGATGTGGGGTTCGGGTTCGCTTTGTTTCTCTTCGTCAGATGTGAAGGCAAATGGAGCGCTCGGAAGGAGGCGAGCAGAGCAGGCGGCGGCAGCAGCCTTGGGGGAGGCTGACCCGGCTGGGTGCTGAGGAGGCAGAGCCGCACGTCCTGCTGCTGAAGAGAGAGTGGACCATCGGCAGGAAGAAAGGTGGGACGGGCTGCGCTGTGCGGGACGACGGCGGGCCCGGGTCCGGCCTCGCAGCCTGCGGAGGTGGGCTGAAAGTACCGGGCCTGGGCCTTTCAGCTGCTGGAGGCGCTGCCTGGGCAGCCCCTCGTGCCCCCCGAGCTGTGTGAAGAGACCTGTTCTCCTTTTCAGCTTGTGGCATGGGAGCATTTACACGTGAATGTACCTCTCGGGTCATCTGAGGCAACTTGTGCAAATAAAAAACGGTAGTTGATTCAGAATGTCTGTGGTAGTCCTGTTTGTGTTCCCTTTGCATTTTTGGAAGTCATTGTAGAGGCTTTCACTGAATAGAATGGAAATACTGGTGAGCTGCTTGGTACATTTTGGCCTTTGCACTTCCATGGGATTCTGTGTCGCAGGGCTTTAAGGTAGAGGATTGGTACTCTCATTTATCAACTACTTCCTCAGGTATATCCTGGTGTTACCTTGGTGTGAAAGAGAGCTGGCTGCTCTGTGACAAAGGCCTTCAGAATTTGGATTGAGTGCATCTCAGATTTGTGTGAATTTATACCGCTCTAGAGTGGACTAATTGTGTTTTGGTTTTCATTTGTAAAGTTGAAATTAGGGAAAGAAGGGGAACTCAAACAGCTTGAAGTGGTTGAAAGAAACCTGGCTTGGTATGCAGGGTTACTGCACAGTATTTATATATCACATAGATGGACTATGTTTCTGCTTATATGCCAGCAGGATTTTTGAACTATTGCAGATGTACATGAGTCAGTTTGTTGTGCATTTATAGACATGTAGAATGTTGAGCTGTCTGTGTAATGTGTATTTTTAAGCACGCTGGAAAATCTGCTTTCTTTTTAAGGTTGTGACTTATCTTTCCCTGGCAACAAGCTGGTGTCTGGAGATCACTGTAAAATCATAGTGGATGAAGAGTCTGGTCAGGTGTCATTGGAAGATACAAGGTTGGTTCTCCTTTGAATTCTGCTATTATCTTTTCTTTAGTCCGTGAAGTAAAATCTTGTGCATTGCTTGAGGCATTTATAACAAATCCTTTTCCTTCATTTTTCTTCTTCTCTTTTTGCAGCTGTGGAGTGGTTGTTTTTCTTGTCTGTTTGTTCCACTTTCCCAGTATTTTTTTCCTCTTCAAGGGGAATGGAAAATACTGGTGGTTCTTTGGGATATTTCTTTGGGCTTGTGAGAGAAAGCAAGATGGCTTGTTGTGTTTTGTCTAACTAGAATAATTATTCCCATGGTGTATCAAGGGTTTGGGAACCGAGGTCCTTAATGTAAAAAGAGATAAGCGCATACCTCACTGGAACTACTGCTAAGAAGCTAAGCTAATTTTCTGAAACTACTTTTGGTGTGTAAAGTTCATTATGTACTTCATATACTGAAGGCCAGTGAACTTGGCATGTTAGCCTTGTTATTTCCTGTAGAGTTTTAAGGTTACTGTGGGAGTACAAATAGCACTGCGGGGTTTGTGGGTGGCTTTCATTGGATTTTATCTTGTTTTCTTTGTGAAATCTGAGATAGGAATTTGAGTAGAAGGAGATTTCTTAGGAGGAGGCTGTAACCCCCCTCACATTTTCATCTGCTTCATTTTTGACAGGATTTTTTGTCTGAGATTGCAGAAGGCTTCTGGTTTGTTGCATTTCAAGAAATCCGTGACATTTTAAAATGTTTCTGTAAACCACATTCTTTTTCTGCCCCACTGTTGCAGTCAATAAGGAAACAAACAATACTTTTTTTTTTTTAACCAGATCCCCTCTTTTTCATGTCTAGAAAGCACTACACCCAAAGATGAATACAGTTCAATATATATTGATGAATATACATGACGATGAAATTTAATGTGAAAAATTTTACAGAGTACCATGCTGAATCTGCTGTTTCTTTTTCAAATATACGAGGATGCAGTTAGATCTTTTGTTCTGGTAGTTCAGGTTAGTGTTATATGCTTCCTAGGACTTTGAGAATATTCTAGAGAAGCCTTTAATTGAACAGTGGGTGCATCTGCTGGGATGCTGTTGGCAGAATCTATGAGACATAGTTGACAGCTTTCCTTCAACAAAGTTTTTGTTGCTTTGTTAATTAGTGGCTGTGCTAAATTTTCCTTCCAGAGTAGAATATCATGGAATTAGTGATGTTGGAAGCTATCTCAGGAGATCACCTATTTCCAACTCAGTTGAAGAAGGGCCGTCATTCTATTTGAACTGGATTGTTTAGGTTTTCTCTAGTCCTTTAAGCATGGAAATCCTGTAGCATCTCATGACCCTTATTCTGAACATTAATTATATTTGTAGTGGTTCTTTTTTTTTTTTTTTCTCTTGTGTCTTGTTTGACTCTACGTAAAGAGCCTGACTCCATAGTCTTGGCATCTTTCTTGTAGGTACTGGATGATTGCTATTTGGTCTCGTGGTGCCCAAGCCATATTTTCCATGGAAAAATAGGTCCAATTCCTTTACCCCTTTAGCTCATTGGTCTTGTGCTCCAGCCCTCTGGCCACTTTGGTGGCTCTCTGCTGGACTTTCTCAAGTTTATCATGACCTTCGTTGTCCTAGGTGTTCCAAAACTAGATGAAATATTGTAGATCACTTGAATGGGCAAGTGATTTCTAAGCAAAGGGGAAGATTAATCACTTCATTTGATCTTCTGACTACACCCTTTTTAATATAGCCAAGTATGCTGTAGGCCTTCCTCACTGCCAAGGCACACTGCTGACTTATGCCTAGGCATAAATCCAAAGTGTACGATCTTATGCTTAGGCATAAAATTCACCAAGATCCCTTGCTGATCTGTCCCCAGCCTTTACTGTTGCAGGTGATTGTTCCATCTCAGCTGCGGAGTGCTGGGTTTGACTTTATCCTGGTATTCCCATCAATCTGCCTGGGTCCCTTTCAAGAGCCCAACTCTCACATGTACTAAATATTAAATATAGTCCCTACTTTGGTGTTACCCGCAAGCTTGATAAAAATTTAGTTCCTTCTCCCCATCTAGGTTGTAACTAGAGATAGTAGATATCTGAATACATCCCTGATGGCTTGTGGCTTTTGCGAAACCTTGTATTCCAAGAAGCTGCAGGATGAAATGCTAACCTATAGGGAAAAAAACCCTGAGATTTCTAGGAAATGGTTATAAATGTCATTATCCAATATTAATCCACACATCAAGATATTTCAAGCAACAGATCAGGCCATGTTTGCTGGTCATGGTAGTTTCAGGGGGCACCTGTAAATCTATGTTTGGAAAACCATCACTTGTTTCAAGTGCATGCAGCTGGTAGAGTTAGTTTATACCAATGTGGTGATAATAAAATCTAAAGAAATTGTGAATGATGCAGAAACTTTCCTACTTTCCTTCTTTGCCTCTCCCCCTGGGGGGAAAAAAAAGCAGGAAAAAAAAAAAGAACTAGCTAAGCCAAATTAAACTTATTTTTTTCACATGATGCATTCATGAAAAGGTGGGACTTGTTAAACTGCTGATGTCACAGATGGGCTGCATGCCTATGGAGTACTACCATTAGCTGCTTGTGCATGATATGTTTATATGTAGCTGACAAAAAAGAATTAGGGTCATTCACGTGTTCTACTTGCCTGTGTTTTGGTGTGAGGTGTAGTTACCTCTTGTTGAATCAAAAAGCTGAATAAGTTAGTATGTTTGTTTGCAGAAGACTCCTCTCCTCTGAGTCTTCTGACTTTTGCAGTGAGTATCAGCTGAGCTCTAAAGAATCAAGCAGGCTGAAAGAAGAGTTCTGAATGTTTGAGTTGGCAATACTGATGCCCAGAGTCACAGAAAAATACTGCAACATCAGCTTTTTTCTGCTGTTAAGTGGAAAATAGTTCAGAAACATTGCTGTGGTCAAGCTCGGATTTTTCTGGTGAGAAGGAATGCATTGAAGGAGGCAGCTAGCATGGGGTAGTTGGACTGAGTGGACTTTGGTTTTGTATTGTAGCTAAATCAAAGAATATCATCAAATACATGTAGATGGTCAACGTTGTTATTTACCACCATGGTAGCATGATGAGTTTACAAATCTGTTTTTGAAAGAATTACCATAAATTTGCAGATGAGAGCAAATGTGTAGAGGATTTGAAATTATTGAGTAAACAGAACCAGTAGTAATGTAACAAAAACCAAAAATTAGCTAATAGTACAATAAAATATCCATGGATTTGTGGTCCCCCCCTTTTTTTTTTGTGTCTGTGTTTCTGTTTTGTTTTCCAAGCCATGCCTAACAGAAAGACAAACTGACCTGACACAGTTGAGGCAGATACTGGTCTGCCATAAGTAAAAGCAACTGTAAGATTCTTCATTTTGAAATAGAAATTTGAAAAGCTGCTGAGGTAACTTGTAAGGTAACTCTTCTTGTTGTCTTCCAGGTAATTTTTTTTAAGGATTCTGGTTAAATATTAAAGAATTTTTCTTTTTTTTCTGAGCAGGAGAGGTGTTCTCAAGTGACAAACTAGCAGATGTTCCCTTTCTGTGAGTAAAAAGGAGATTGATCTTCATTGGACAGTGGTGTCCTTTCTGCTACTCAGTTCTGCTTACCCTGCAGTCAGGCTGTTTCTGTGGATGTTAGTGGTATAGAAGCTTATTAAAGCTCAAAGTGCATTTCAGTTTATAGTGTGTTGAAGATGCTATGCACTTACACAGCTTCTAAAACTGCTAACCCACATGTTTTACATTTTAAATTAATAATTAATTTTAAATTACATTTTTTTTTTCCTGGATGGATGCTAGTAATCGCTAGAAGGTAAACGGACTGGCGTTTTTCTGGGAAGGATAACTGAATACCTTACAATACACAGATCATTTATCTACTTTGGAAGTCAGCATCTTCGAAGTGAAATGTAGTTGTTTGTATCAATTCTGTACTGCTGCTGGGTTTGGGAAGTAAAGGTAGTGTATGGCTCATTAATCAGACTGCAGAGCCAGCACCTGACTTTTATTTCTTCTGCTCTTCAGAGAAGCAATGGGACCTTTTGTGACATTGTTTCACAACTCAGGCAATTTACATGTGATAGTAAAGTTTTTCTTCTCCACATCCAAAGTAATACAGCTAGTTAATATCAGTTCAGTGTCAAGTGAACTTTGTCTTTGGGGTATGTTTTAAATGCTATTTATCTTATAAGGACCTTGCTATGGTCTGAAACATCAACTGCAATTATTTATCATGTGTGTCTCGTTCAAAAAAACCACAGCATTAATCTAGGGTGTCACTGTATCTGTTTGATGTCTCATGCTGCAATTCTGAAACTGGGAAGACTAAGTGAAGGAATAACAATTATCTGGGGTGATTTTTTTTTTGTTTTGATTATTGACTGAGATAAAACTCCTTCAGTTTGTTTCTGTATTTAAGAAGAGCTTTATTTTCCCCTTCTTTATAAATTGTATCTATTTTTACTTACTTTGTGTCCATAGATGCCACACAACTCATTACTGAGCTCTCCTTGGAGTCAGCATAGCTGCAGGACTGAGGGGACTCAGATATTTGCAGTCACTTTGTGGATGGGGTAGTTGTTTTTGCAGCTTCTAATTATCAGACCAAAAATGAGTGGTTTCTGATGCATGGTGGTGATAATTTTTTTTCCAGGAATGCCACGCTTGGCTTATTGCCTCTCATAATCATCTTTTTAATATCACTGGTATCAGTGTTAAGTTAAAAACCAGTGTAGTTTCTGGCAGAATAACTAGAATTCTTTCTTCCTCTTAATTGCTGAACTTCTGGTGCTTTTTACTTTGTGACATTCCCATTCTGCTGCCTTTCTGGTTTTCATCTCTTTCAAGCTGGTCAACATCTATATTCCTAAGGTAAAAAAGCGAGCTCTAAATAATTTCTTTACTTGTAAAAGAAGCTTCAAGATCTGTTAGTGGAGCAATAATTGATGTGACCCAAAGTTTTTTCTTTGTTGGTGCTTAAAGTTGCTTTTTAGTGTGTGCTGGATTAGTTGATTCATCTGCGTAGGTAGAGAAAGCAGATGCAGAGGGAAAAGGAAGAAGTGATGCCTTGAACAAGGCATGCAGTTGCTATTTAAAAAGACTTGTTTTCCCTTTCAGCTTTTTAATGTAATGCTTTCAACTTTGCATCTGAAAAGGTCAGCAGTACAATGGTTTTTTTCCTATTTGTCTTGCTAAATTACAGGAGATTTTCCCAGGTTCGAGTTTGTTTTTAAAGGAAAAACAATGAGAAGGGAAGGAAAGATGCTTATATCTAAATAACCATTGATCTCCTCTAGGTTAAAACTGGTCCTTTTGAGGAAGACTGGAATGTGTCCTGAGAACAAGTAGTGGCTTCCAGGAGGTGGCAGCAAAGATTTGCTGTCGTTTCTTGGAGGAGGTGCTCTGCTGAGGGGGAAAACGCATCTTCTTTTCTTTCATACTTGGTATTAATTATGAGACTGAATGGCAGAAATCTGAAGTTCTAGAATGCTGCAGCCCTGAAAGAGGCTTATCGCAAGGTAGCTGAAATCTTTCAGTATTTGAATAATGACTGAATTATTAAAGGCTAAGAGCTTGCATATTGAACAGAGAAAGAACAAAGGTATCTTAATATAGCAGTGCTCTGTATTTGCTTCTTTCCTGGTTTAAATTCTTCCGTAAGGCTTGGAGCTTTCATAAATACCAAAATAATTATTTCCAACTCTCCTTTAATTTGTGCATAGTAGTTCTCTCACCTGACTTCTTCGGTTTTAGTTGCAGATGGCCTAAGTAACCTTGAAATTTAAGTTTTTCACTATTTGAAGCAAAAAAGGAACCAAAATGAACACCAGCCGTGGATTCCTTACTGTGCAGAAGTTCCCTAGTGCCAAAGTGTTTTAGAAGACTCCCATTGTTAATTGGAAGGCATAATCTAGAACTTGAATAGAAATCCTATTGTGCTTTTGTCTTTCATATTTAAAAGACAGAGACTTTTTTCTATAGTAACAATCATTGAATTATTTTGAGGCAGTGGCCAAGTGTCATGTCTCTATGAAGACAACGTCTTTAGTAGGAGCTGCAAACGAGCTTTGAAGTACAAATAGTCCTGCACTTCTCTCTTTGAAATAGGTTTTCTCTTTTCTTTGGTTTGATTCTGAACATTTTTTTTATCCTTGCTTAAAATGTCCTGGAGAATGTCCCTGATCCTTGGAGGAGCCAACAGATTCCTTCATTAAAAGTATCTTGAATTTTCTTTTCCTTCTCCCAGATAATCATGGAACCATTTATATTGTTATCTTTTTCTTTATAGTACTAATGGAACAGTAATTAATAAACTGAAAGTGGTTAAGAAGCAGACGTACCCTTTACAAACTGGAGATGTGATCTATGTTGTTTACAGAAAAAATGAGCCAGAGAACAGTAAGTAAAGGGTGTTTTTTTTTAAAAATTGTGTAGTCTTTTTTACGTCAATACAATTAAATCAGGGTTACTTCATTTTAAGGCAAATAATTTGTTGATATGTAGAAACAAGATTCTATGGAATGGGTTGTGGATGTGCCAGTTTTTACAAGGACAAGTCTGACAATGTCACATCGAAGCCTGCCTAGGAGCAGCTTTGGAAGAAATAGTGCATGCAGTGATAACTAATAAGGTCCTGATCACACACCCAGCCCTTATTTCAGGACTCCAAATTCTTAAGGTCATTAACAATACTTTGTATATCACACTTCAGCAGTTTTTGGCATCAGAAGGGGATCAGGGACTTGCTGCCTAAGTTGAGTTTGATGTTTTGTTGTTTTGTTCTTTTAAAGATGTGGGGCAAACTGGGAATGGGAAAAGATCCGGTAGTGAAAGTAAAATTAGAAAACCTGAAAAGGTATTTGTGTACCCTTGGAGTAAAATCATCTCTCACATGCCTGTAATGCTTCTTAGGAATCACTAAAGTTATAAGTTCCCCTATGTACGTTTACAACATGTTTAATGGAAAAATAAAAGAGCATATTTACAGTTTTCATCCATTGATATACATATTAACTGTCCATAAAAGAGTATGTATGTGTCTCCTTTTAGGAAGTTGCTGTTAATTTATGTGCAGGCAGATCAGGCTGATTTATGCTGTCTGATGTGAAAGTTACAAGAAGCAGCAATATGCTGTATCTGTCCATCTGTTTGGTTTGTTTATCTCATAAATCCTCTTTAAGATGGCACTGTTTGTGGTTGATACTACTTGGAAGAACTCGTTTATACAAATTTTTCAGGTACTTTATAATGAATTGAAGTACAGATTTCTTCTCTTGTTAACAAGGTTTTGAATTACCAAGCATTCAGTTTGGCTCTTTCAGCTTCTCCATCTTCAAAGACAGAAAGGAAATGTAGAATTGACATTCTGGCTGGTCTGAATACTTCCAAAGGAGTTTAGACTAACTTTATGAGAAAAAGGGCTTCTGTCCTTTTTGAGTTTGATTCTAGTTTGGGTAAAAAGTAGCAAGGTAGGGGGATCTGTCCAAATGTATTAGTCTGAAGTGGTTGGTGAAAAAAGGAATATTATTCTGTTGTTTTGTATTAACAGATGCTAAATTAGTTTCTGGATGTAACTTGGAGCATGCTATAAATCTGTACGTTTTAGAGTTTGTTTCTTGCAAAGAAATCTAAAATTGAATGAAGAATTTGAGAGGTGAGCTCAGAAATAATAACCTTCTTCTGATAACTTTAACTGAAGTATCAGGAAAAAAAAAAAAGCAGATTTTACATGTAAGAAATGATTGAGCCTCTGCTTCCATGGCTGGCACAAGTTAAACCTCACACAAAGGCCTCTCTGCCTGGTTTCATGAGAAGAAAAGATCTTGCTGTGTTGTTCCTAATTGCCTCCTAAGTAGGATTATTAACATTGTACGGTAGAGGTGGTCCCTCATTGGCCTGTTGTGTTGTCAGACACTCTGGGGAAGCATCTGCCTGGCAGTAGAACTTGTTTGTGTGAGGCTGAAGTTAGTTGATATTTATTTTAAAATTCTGTTTAACATTTTTTTTCTTTTTCAGACGTTGCTTATCTTTATGAATCCTTAAACGCAAAACATGATGCAACTCAAGAACCAGTAGGTAAGGAAGTAATTGGAGATTCAAGAAGAGTAGCTAAGCTCCAATGACTAACACATTGCTTTTTTTAGAGTTTGAGTCCTTGAAATTCTGAAGCCATCGTGTGAAAACTGTCACACAGATCTTTTTCTTTCCCCTTTTTTCCCCTCTAGCTGTAGAAGCTAATGTAGAAAACCAATGCCATGTGACCAAAGATACCTCAAGTACAGGAAGAAGTAATGATGAGAACCAAATTACCTCATCACCATCAGCTACTCAGTCTTGCTATGAGGAACCACAGCCATCTACTTCTACATCTAACCTCTTTAATGCTTCTTCTACCTCTCTTATTGAGTCTGCATCTGTTGAACAGGATAATCCTTCTACATCTGGTAAGAATTATATCAGTATTTAGTATGCTTCTGATCTGTTATGATCAATATTGTATAAAACCTTTCCCTGGCATCCTTGTCAGAAGGCACTGATATGAGTAATATCTTAAGAATAAATGCTCTGCGCTTTGAAGGGATTTTTAAGTAGGGTTTCACAACTAAAGGCCTTTTTTTCCAGGTCCTCCGCATGTAGTGTAACTAAACATACATTACTTGTGCCTTGGCATCCTTTTTTCCTGTACGGATGTTTGGATTGATGTATGTGCATAATTGGTGTTTGAGTAACTTCTGTTTTTGCATGTCTGTGCAGCTGTGTTCACTTCTCTGTTTTTATTTTGCAGGATCACAATCCTCGCTCTTCACTCCTGTGCCTGCTTTGCCCATCTTAGAATCTGTGTGTCGAAGAGCACTTCGTGATGAACATGAAAAGCTGGATGTGAATGCTGAAGTTTCTGCAATCACTTCAGAAATCAGTGACAAAGAAAATGCAGAATTGGGTTCTCAAAAGACAGAGGAGGAAGAAGTTGTGGAACCTGCTAAAAAGAAACTAAAAGGAGGCTAGTATGCTGCAGTATTCTGCAACCAACTTTAATATTATTATTGAAAGTTAGTTTTAAAAGTTTAAATTAGAAATTTAATGCTGTTTATTTTTCAAAGAAACCCAGTGAGGTGAACAGAAACTTAAGAAAAATAAGTGCAGAGTTTTAACATGAAATAAATACAAAGGCGCTCATCAAATTTAGAAGGGATTGAAAGGTTACCTGCTTTAGCATGGGGGTTGAACATAGTGGCCTCTTGAGGTCCCTTCCAACCCCTGCAGTTCTGTGATTCTGTTAGGTTAGCACGGGGTAGATAACCTTTTTCCCCCCTCATAATGTAATTCTATGTTGTAGTATTGTGTTAAATAGATAAGCATTATTTGTCTGTCTTCCTGTGCCCAGTTTCAGTCAGATCAGTGTCATCAGTCCTTTTTCAATTTTTTCTCAGTTGCTTGATTTCTGATACAGTGAAAATGGTTACTTGATTAGCAGAAACCATTATGTGAAAAGCAGGAACCTTTAGTGGCACCATTGTCAGTGAACAAGGAATTTGTGTGCACCTTTCCAGTCATTTTGTAACATTAAAAAAAAAAAGTTTCAAAATCTACATATTGTGGTGGTTTCTGTCTTTATAGATGAAGGTGCTTGTCCAAATCTTGCAGTAGCAGCTCCAAGTGAATGTATAATTAAAATTGGCTCTGAAGATGCCAAAACATCAAATGTGAAACCAGATAAGATGGAAGAAACATTAACTTGTATTATCTGCCAAGAATTGCTGCATGACTGTGTAAGGTATGTATGACTGACAAAAACCATGTTTATGTGATAATAATATAAGTTCAGTGACAGAAGTTTGAGGTGACCAGAAGATTTGCGATATTTACAAACCCTTAAAGTCTTTTTTAATGAGTCTTTCTTATTATCAAAGTAGATCTTAAATGTTTTTTAAAGTGTTATGAGTGTAAATTAAAAAGATGATATATCTAGGGTTTACTTATTATGTTTGTGTTTTCCAGTTTGCAGCCTTGTATGCATACTTTCTGTGCTGCCTGCTACTCAGGATGGATGGAAAGGTCTTCTCTATGTCCAACTTGTCGTTGTCCAGTAGAACGTATTTGTAAAAATCACATATTGAACAACTTGGTTGAAGCTTATCTGATTCAGCATCCAGGCAAGTTCAAGTGTGTGTAAAAGACCTGATATATTTCACATGTTAACTCCATAGCTGATGTATGCACAAAGTCTGTTGTCAATAAAGTATCTGTACATTATATACTCATAGTACTGTTTTCTCTGATGAGACTGCAAAAAAAAACAAGATGATCTTCTCGAACTGTTATCTAAAAACAAACATTATGGCAATGAAGATGCCATAACTCTGTGTAAAAAGAGTAGAGTGGGAATAATGAATGTGAAGAATCCTGTGCTTTTTTCTTGAAACTTGAATTTGGTTTTCATACAGATAAATGTCGTAATGAAGATGATGTACGTAGCATGGATGCTAGAAACAAAATTACTCAAGACATGTTGCAACCTAAAGTGCGGAGGTCTTTTTCAGATGAGGAAGGAAGTTCAGAAGATTTACTGGAATTGTCAGATGTAGATAGTGAATCTTCAGATATCAGGTAGGTCCATTTAAGTTGTGTACTGAATTGAATTTGCTTATGCTTAAGTGCCCAAACGTACAAACTAGTTTCAAAAACATTGAGAGCATTGTTATTGCTGATATTGTTTCCACGTTCATTTCCAGAATGAGTCTTTCTTCTGTTTTCATGGAAGTTCATTTTTACCATTAATTATCTTTGCAATTCTACTGGCCATCCTTAAGCAGTCAAGAAAAAATATGTTAAATTAGAACTCACTGGAGCCCAGCAAGGTTCAGTTTGAGTAATAACTTTCTCCTGAATAGTATGACAGCATCTCATGATGTGAAAATACCTTCTGTGGCTGTTACTTTACAGAAAACTGATTTCTGCATAAGGTTTTGTTATGAGAAACAGCAGTCTATGACCATATAATTATAGCTGCAATTAATGTCTGGGATCCTGCTTTCACCAGGTGTGTGCTACCGAAGCAGCTGATGCTTGACCGAGGGATTACTAGCCATCAAAATAGCTTTTCTTTTTCAACAGCAAGCATTTTTTGCTGTATGCTAGAGGAGAAAAGAAGTCTTCCAGCAGATAATTATTCCAGCTTTGTTAATCTTGCTTTCACTCACACCCCTGTTCTGTTTTGGAAGATATTAAGAATCCTTTCTTTTGCAGTACTCTTGGTTAGCTACAGCATTCTTCGTAGTGAGGTACAAGTTATGTGGACTTCCATATGTTACTGGACGAAGGAATTCTAGATTAGAACTTAAAGGGTATAATCAACCCTCTGTCTAGCATAGTGATGAGTTATATTTGCATTTGGGTATGATTTCCTATGACCTTATTTTATTTTTTCAGTCAGCCGTATATAGTATGCAGACAGTGCCCAGGGTATCGAAGACACTCTGTTCCAGCTGTGCCTGGCACGGGCCAGGAGACAGAAGCAGGAGGAATGCAAGCACTGGGAGATGCACCCTCCACGTCTGCCAACTTTCCTGCAGGTCAGTGTCATGAAGTCTTGTTAGCAGCGTGAAGATAACAGGTGTATGAGCTATAGGCCTTGTGAAGCTCATTCTCGTAGTATTGTATCACCTCTTCACACAGATATCTTTGCAAAAAAATTAGATTTGAGCATTGTTTTACTGTGGTCATCCAAAATAGACACCTGATGGTTGATAGTTCATAAACTCATTTGCATATTTGAATATTTTTACACACCTATGTAGTTTAGAAGTTTTTTCTGCTTTTTTTAAGAATCTTTGTGGGGAAATATATAGATACATAAAAATATATATAAACAAGCAAGCTACGTGTGTGTGTGTGTGTGTATATACATATGTATATGTATAGCTTGCTTGTTACTTTCAGACTTTTATCTATTGCTTGCTAGGATTCCTGTCCATTTTGTAATTCTTTGCATTGTTCAGCCTTTCATTTTTCTTATTTTTTCTCACCCACCTAGCTGTTCAGGAGTATGTGTGTCCTGCTCAAGGAAGTCATGTAATATGCACCTGCTGCTTTCAGCCAATGCCTGACCGAAGAGCGGAGCGTGAACAGAATCCTCATGTTGCTCCTCAACAGTGTATGTACATAGTTCTGCAGTCAAACTTAAGAAAAAAATTGAAAAATAAGTGTCTCTTTATTTTAGTGAAAATTAAGTTTATTTTGAAGAGTGATTTTGATATTCTTTATTTGGAGTCTTCTTGTCAAATCATGAAACAGTCTTCCTTCATAAAATGCATTTATTAATCCTCTTTTTTGAATAAGAAAGCTGTACTTTTTTAACAAGGTTAACAGGACCCTATTGCTGTAAAAATGACAGACTGAGTTTTGTTATGTGCAATTTTGACAGGGGTTTTCTTTGCTATTTTCAGGTACTGTTTGTCTGCAGCCCTTCTGTCACTTATACTGGGGCTGCACTCGGATGGCATGTTTTGGCTGTTTGGCACCATTCTGTGGTATTTTGAATAATGTTTCTTACAAGTCTGCTCTCTTTGCCGTGATTTCTGTCTACCTTAAACTTTGAGTAATTTATGAAATGCAATAGACTACCACAGTTATGCAAAAGGAAACTTAGGTTGTGTCCTCACACTACAAACATAAATGATTCTTGAATGTGCATGTCTTAGATTTGAGTGGAAAACAGCACTTGCTGAGCATATTGCTTTCCAGCATAAAAAAAAAAAAAAGTGGTGTATTTCAACCTAGTAGGAGAATCACGCATATCTTTGCACAAGCATTGAATGTCTGATGTTGACTGGTTGGAAAAGAAGCTTTCTCTCTCAAATTTCTAGTCTTCCAAAGCTCAAGGTTTTAGATGCTTCGAAAAATAAGAGTAGTTAAAAGGACTTGACTATAGAATATGCTTTAATAACACTGTTAATTTGTGCAGATCAGTAGTACTGTTTGTGAACTGAAGGTGAAATTGTAAAATCTTAATGTCATGGTTTTGATTGCAACTAGAAATTATGTATTGCACACGTGTGTTCAGCATGTGTTGAACTCGGCCATGTGCTTGGTGCTTGCATGAGCCTGTGTGTGTTATTTCAGGAAACTAAAGAGCCTTCAGATATATGTGAGCGCCAAAGGGTTTGGGAAGAAATAATAATTCTTTTCTTCTTCTATTAGAAATAAACCTTGGTGACAAGTGTTTAGATGGAGTCCTAAATAACAACCACTATGAGTCAGATATCCTGAAGGTATTTTTTCAAATGTTTATGTATGTTACATAATAATAAATCTGTGTTTAAGATTTGCTCATGAAATGATAGTGATATTTAATTTCTCAAACATATATGTCTGGCAGCTGCCAGGAAGGCTGCAGCTGTAGCAACAATTTATGAATTTGAGTTTAAGTAAGTGACTGTAGAATTCATGTTTGCTAACTCAAAGAATTTTCCTTGTACAGAGTATTTGTTAGGGAGCCCAGTATCTACAGTCTGAATTGCAACATCTGAAATGTTAATTAAAGAAAAAAAATCACTAACATCTGACAGGAAAACAAGTTGTTTGTTTGTTTGTTTTTAATGCTAGACAAATTAAGCTTCACTTGTGTTGCATAGAAATATTTTTTTCTATACCGTAATAACTAGATGATCTAAAGTAGGTAGGCTGGATGAAATCCTGCTGTAAGTTAAGTGTTAATGTGTCTGGTGGGAATCTGTGTATGTTCTTTTGGCAAAAGAAAGAATGCTCTGGATGAAGAATATTGAGCTAACAGTTTTATTGGTGATTTGAAAGCTAAAAAAAAAAAATTATTCTATTATTCTATTATTCTATTTTTGTTTGTAAACAGCCTCATCCCATTTTGAAAGCATAGTTAGATCTAGATTTGGAAATATTTGAGAACTAATGGCTTGGTGTCTTTTTAATGTTTGAGACTTTTCAAATGAAACAAACTCTTCTTTTTCAGGATTACCTGGCATCCAGGGGTTTGACGTGGAAGAATATGTTAAATGAAAGTCTGTTAGCTCTTCAAAGAGGAGTTTTTATGCTGTCAGGTGTGTTTTGTTCACTTTTGTCCACGTATAACTCTGTGTGTGTATGTGTAGAACTCTGTGAGTAATCAAGAGGTGTGATGCTCTGTATTTACATAACTTGTGATGTCATGACATTTTTGTTAAATCGGAATTCTTATTTCTTACTCTGACATTTTTTACAAATTGTATTTTTCTCCAGATTACAGAATTACTGGGAACACAGTGCTTTGCTACTGTTGTGGCCTTCGCAGCTTTCGAGAACTTGCCTACCAGTACAGGCAAAATATTCCTGTTGCTGAACTGCCAGGTGGGGTTAACTTTGCATAGTACAGAGGGAGTCAGTTAAAAAATTAATCACTTTTATTCTTGGATCTTCTATATGAAGCCTTAGATTTAAATGAGATATGGATTGTGGCCTCCTTTGGCAGATTTGAGCTTGGGAAGAGTAACTCTTCCTTCATTTTTAAGCATTACTTTATCCATTCAGTTCTTGTTGTTAGCAAGAGCTTCTACATCTTTAACTACTGAGAATTCTGCTTTTATTTTTGTGCATAACGAGACAGCTCACCTTGTTTCTCCTCATTATTGCTTTTCTATTTAGTGTAACAGTCTGCTGGACCACTCAGTTACTATGTATGTAAAACTGGGGGAGAATAACAAACTACCCAAATTAATGATTTTTTTTTTTAATGGAAAGGTATCTATCATATATGCTTCGTGTCCTAAACTGTAAAGTCAGTATCTGTTAAACTAAATAGTAAAGCTTCAGTTCAGAACACTGAGAAACAGTGGCATAGTATTCTGTCACCTTATTTAATGGCTTCAGAAAAAAATAAATGTAGTTTTTTCTTTTCTTTGCAGTGACTGTCACATCACGTCCTGATTGCTACTGGGGACGCAACTGCCGAACTCAGGTCAAAGCACATCATGCCATGTAAGTTACTGTCACAGTGTTCAGTAGATCAATCTATGCCCGTGACAAGGGGCAGTAGGCCCCTGCCCCCCACTTCCCCCTGGCCCTACAAAATGGCAAGGAAGGAAGGGATGAAAAAAAAAAAACAGCGGCAACAATCTATGGAGGAATACTTATTTTACTATGATATCGGAATGCAAGATAACACAATATAATACAATCTAATTGAAATTGAGACTAATAAATCAAATAAGATAGGGGAGAGTTCCTGAGACCGAGTCAAACCTGAAAAGCTTGGAACAGCTAGGAAAGCACCCTCCAGCACCCACTGCCAGGCAGTAAGAGACCGCCCACAACAGAAGGGTCAGATCCCATGACTTCCGTAATGTATAGGGATAGGTACCTAGAATTGGAGCATTAACACTTCAATTCCAGTACACTATGTGATGATTTGATGCAGAATACTGAAAACCAAAAAACCTTTTAGAAAGTGGTGGGTTTTTGTTTTTGGTTGGTTTTGGTTGTTTTTGCTTAAAAACAAAACTTTCGAAGTGCCAAAAATTGTGTGAGGAATACTGCTGCAGTACAAACAAAAGTGAATGAGCTTTGGATTGTGGGCTTTTGTTTTTAAACACAACTTGGAAATGGCCCCTTCATGCACATCTGAAGGTACCACTAGCACTTTTAAATTAATATTTTCTACCCCCACCTCCTCCTTCATTCATATCTTTCTCAGTCTCAAGCAGCTTTTCATTTGGCCTTGTCTTGAATGCTTCTTGAGAAGACTATGCAGATAATTAGCCCTTTGCTATTTCTTTTGGAACTGTGAGAAATGATCTTTAGCAAACTACAACAACATTAAAGGGGTAAATTGGTAGGGAATAATTTATGACAAGGGAAGGAAGAAAAGTTTGGAATGTAATATTGGAAACCTGGTGTCTGGTCATTCACAAGAATTATTCATCCAAAACAAGGTCCTTGATTTTTAAAAAAGGAAAGCCACTGATAACTGATGCCAAGTCATTCTTGCAGAAGGTGGTATGTGTGTTACAACAAGTATTAAAGAATTTCAAGAATAAAACAAAAATTGGCTGTCTACAAGTTACCTTGTTCTCCAGGAAGGGTAAAGAAATCCTTCTTGCTCAGGGAGTTATTCTCTAAATTCACAGTGCAGTTCAAGACTGTGAAGCCATTGCTCCTTACTGAGAAATGATTATAATGAATAGTAGATTCTGCAGCATCTTCCTAATGCTGCAATGAGCACGCACAATTAGCATGCACAATTAGCATTATTCCTTTAACACTTCAGATACTGTGGGTTGAAAATAACCAGTCTGTATGGCTCATTCAAGCAGATAATAAAAAAGTTAAAATATTAATCCCCCAGCCACATACAAATGCAGAGTTTTACCAAATACCTTTCAAATATCATTTGGAATTTAAGTTGTAGATTTAGTTCAAAGCTCTGCTGTTATCTGCGTTTTCAGATTACAAGGCTGTCTATTTTTCCACAGGAGATTTTATTTTGAAGTGCTGGAGAGTTAACTCAGTATCAAAGCACTCACCAGTTGTCTACATTCATATTTGGGTGGATAATTTCATCTAGAATAATTTCACCTAAAAGGGTTTTTTCCACTTGTTTTTCCAGAATTAGCCGTTCTAGAACTTTACTGGTTGTTGCTTAACTTTTAAAAATCCATAGAAATGAGGAAAAAAAAACCCTCAAAACCTATCATATACCACTCCTAGATATTCATTTTTTTTTTTAATTGAGCTAAATTGTTTTGCTAAGTAGTTTGGTTATGTAGGCAAGGTTTCTTTCTAATCTTTTGTCTGATTCAGTAAAGAGAAAATGCACTCAGCTCTTCAAGTTGTGTTTCACAATATGTGTTGGGGGACGCATAACCCAAGAGAAGGAAGAACAAAATGGATAGCCGGAGATTTTAGAGAAGTAGGAAGAAGTGCCTTATACAGAATTTAGTGCAGACAGGCTTGCTATTCCCATTGAACTTAAATAATATAGAATGAGAGAAACCTTACATGTATTTCCAGAAAAAGATTGTACAGAAATGTATTGTGAGACTGGTTAATACTAGTTGCCCTAGTGAGCCATATAATGCTGCTTTAATAAAAATAACTACTGTCTCTCAGGACAAAATTAATTCTCTTGATTCCTGTTTTACTTGCCTTCTGGATTTGAAGTATGCAGAAGTACAGAGGAATGCTTTTAATAACAGGTTTTCTGCGTACATAATAGAACTACCAATTGTTAGGCAGGAGATGCTGAAAATCCTGTTACTGGTAACATGTTAGTAGAGTTCAATCTAAAAAGGCTCTGAAAAGCAGCTATGTTAGTATGTAAATGTTTTCCTTTGAACTGTCTAATATTTAAAATACCCTGTGAAAGATGACAATTCTTGTGTTGCTTGATTTCTGAGAACTTTGTTACATATTAATACTTCTTTTAATTTCAGGAAATTCAATCACATTTGTGAACAAACGCGATTCAAGAACTGAATACTTGTAGTCTGTAGAGAGGGGACAAAAACTTGTCATACTGCTTGTACAGTTTAAGATTTCAGGGGATCTTCTCATTTCTCCCATAGCAGGGAACCAATAACTTCTGCATCAGGTAATCTGAAATGAACTTCCTAATTTGTAGAATTTGACAACTGTAAATGAATGAGGTAGGTTTTTTTTTCCAAGAAAGTCCAGCAAGCATTGCGTTCCATTCTCATGACTACAACGTCCCTGTGTCACTTTGCTGAAGAACACAAGCAGAAATCACTCACACAGAAACCAGCCATATCTTGGGAAGGCCTAAGAATAAGGAGTGTATTTGCACTACTTGTGAAGAAACTAAGAATAATCCTTAAACTTAAAAAAATAGAAATGTTTTGTATAAGTATCTGATGATTATTTCAAGAGCCATTAATATTTAAGAAGGAAATTGTCAGTGTATATTTGTAACTGCATTTTGCGGTGGTCTGCTATTTTGTCACTACTCATGGCCTTTGGGCTAGAAATACATGAATCTTCACTTTAGAAAAAAAAGAAAAATCCGTCCATGAAACAACTGTTTTAGCTTAAAGCTTGTACCATATGTGCAGTGTTACAGTGGAAGTAGTACAGTTTCTTATCTTAGTTTTGTCATATTGATGGGTTTTATTCACGTTAAATTACAGAAAGTAATTGCACAAAAATTTGAGAATTGCATTTAAAGTTGGGGTAATACTTGAAGCAGAACAGCCTTCTGCTAATATTACTTCTGTAGTACTTTATATCAGAAGACCAAACAGTGCTTTTGACATAGAGCAGCAGCCAGTAGGACACACTGGTTCATTTTTTGTATTTCTTTTGATATTGTATGCTAAGTATGTACCTCTGCCATGCAGCTGTTCTCTAGCATGCATACACTGGTGAAAATGTAGAAAAGGCTATAATTTAAAACAGAATATAGCAGCTTTACTGGAAAAAACAATCTTTCAGAAACCAATTGACAGATTGTAGCAATATGGAGGCATTTCTAGCTTGGGGTAAGAATGATGAAGGGGGGCGCTGGTATCGCTGTCATCAACAACATAGCTTTTATTTTCACGCCTTTTGGAAAGCTTGTTCCAGAAACATCCCATGCAATCACTTCAAAAAATATCTCAACACTATTCCTCCCCCCCCCCCCCCCCCCCCCCCCCCAACTTCCCCGCCAGTTAATATGATTTAATCTATTTCAAAGTAACTTGGTAGTTAATGTTCACAAAGCTCAACTGGGACCAATTTCTCTCTTTCATCATACTTAGAGTGAAACAGAATGAGAAGAAAACATACCACGTTACCTCTGTAGATACCATGTTCTTTTCAAGTATGCCTTATTTTGTGAGTAGGATTTATACTTCAATATTAAAAAGTGTACACAGCTATCTTGTGTTACAGTGGAGCACAAATGATGCAGCACATCGTGTCTACTGGCGTCAGTGAGTTAAACTATTTCCAGTAACGCACATCTTAATATGAATGCTAATTAAAATTATGCATTTATGTTTAGACTTTTATTTTCTAAAATAGCTGCCGTAAGGATGGGTCTGCTGACCATGCCTGTATGCTATTAAAAATACACTTTTGTGTGGACTTCTCTTCCTAATCTCTGGGCATTTTCTCCTGTGAGTAGGATTGAAATTGGATCTGGAATAATACTTGAAACTTTTTAACAGCATTGCGTTTCTGTCTTTTAGTATTATTAACGATGTTCTGTTGCTTCTGTATTTGTATTTTATGTTTAGATTTTTTTTAATGGTTATTGTTATCTTCTCAGGACAACCATTCCCAGCTGTTTTTATCTCATTTTTCATCTCTGGCTGTGCATGTAGCAAAATGAGTGCAGTTGTGGAGATCAAGCCTTTGCACATTATATGCAGAAATGTGCTTTGCATTCTCATTCACCACTTCCCACACCCCAGATGGGCTCTCAGCATAGACTTGTCACTGTGCTAGTGTTCAAGCCTCTTGTGCTGAGTTGGGTTTTTTTGGTCAAAAATCATGTCTGCAGTACTATGTACAACCTCACTTGCACTTCAAGTTATGTTTATATAAGGATATATTATGTGATAAAAAAAAAAAAAAACCCTGAGAAAGAAATTGAACTGATGTACTTAACATCTAAACTACCTGTGCAGTAGAGGTTCTTCAGATTCCCTTCAAAAAACTTTTTTTGCTGTTACAGATAATTGATCTTTCTATGCATATAGGGTTGACGTAGTGCAATGGAATGAAGGGATTCTTTTGTCATTTATATTGTACCAGGACTAGGTGAGGAAAAACTAACTTGCAGATGGGGAGGGTGAATAAATCCTGATCTTTATATGCTCTTACATAAGTAAGAGTATCTGTCGTGGGTATTACATACTCTAGACCTTTTTAAATGTATGGTTACCAGATGATAGTTAATGTGATAAATGTATGAACTATGCTTGGTGTAACTGTTTAAATACTGGAAAGGTGCAGCATATTTTTTAACCTGTCTAAAGCACACTCCCACCTCCTTTATAAGAGATACTTGGAAGCTGAGCATGAAACGTGGTAGAATAGATGCTGTGAAAGCCAGGGTGATTATGATAGGCTTTGACATAGTGGTGATAAAGTATATAGTCTCTTTGAGAGAGTTCTTTTATAAAGAAGGTGGAGCGTAGTTCTTCCAGTTCTCTTTGGGTTTTTTTTCCTGAATTAAGAAGTTATTAATTAAAAAAACTTTTAAAAAAAAAAAAACAACTGGAGTAATCTGTTTTTTTTTTTTTTGTGGCATGTTCTCTCACCACAGGCATGGATGTATGTCAGCTTTTCTCATGATTGGTCACACCATCAGTTACTTGAATGTTGAAATTTTACAATGAAATATCATCCTTGAACTTGTACTAACTAAATATAAGGGTTTTTTTTGTCCTTCACAGAAACTCCCCCAAACTTCATTACAAATGTCACATCGTATCATAAAGGATCATGAGTCTGTCTGCAGGATTTATAACAAATATCTGTTTAAAAACAGTACCTCGATGTTAGTAAAAAAAAAAAAAAAAAAGTTCACTTTTTTTTAAATGAACTGAAACTGAAATTCCTACAGTACTGTGGAGACTGAACTGACAGCATTATGTAATGCGACTCATTTAAGAGCAGGGTAGAGAAAATGTCATACTGTGTTAATCTTTATACCTTCTGCATTTTCAATGATCTAATTTATATAAGTGATAAGATTTCAAATAATTACTATTAATAGTACTTTTCTTTTTATTAGATTTTTTTTCTCACTGAGGAAGTAAGACTTCTCTGTACCCTCATTCTGTCTGATGCTGCAGATAGCGAGGCTGTGAGTTACACTTCAAATTGCAGCTTAGCATTCCAGGGTCTTTTGCACTGCTGCTTTCCTGCAGTTGAAGCAGGATATCCGTTACTGTTGTAGTCTTATCTGAACTCTGTTCTTAAGCCAGCTGTCATTTCTGCTTCAGACTAGGTTTAAGAGATTAAAACTTGTGGTTCAGTAATACAAAAGTGCTATATTGTTCTGTATGCCATCAGACAAACTAATAGGCCTTAGAACTCACAGTAGTCAAAAAAGGCTTGTTTTGCATTAATATTGGTGGATTGAAACATCTTATACTCTATGGTGTCACAAAACTACCTGTAACTAAATTAGTTTGAGAAAGCTGTTGGTTTTTTTTTTTACTTAACGCTCTATCAGTTCTGACAAAGCTCAGTCATTGACTCATTCATCTTGCAAACAAAATACATCCATTTTAGATCCACTTTTAACTTCTAGTAGAACTGTGTAGTACAGATGGCTTAGCTTACAGTGAGAGCTTAAGGAAATAAGTGATTCAAGAAAGAGTTAAGAATTTGAGAAGAGAATGCTCTGTTTTAAATTGTGCTCTGATTTTTTTTTTAATGGCTTCTTACAAAATTCTGTTGGGATGGGGCTTTATTTTGTACAGTCTGCTCTAAAAATAAGCCACTGATGGTCATATTATTGGAAGTTAGAAGAAGAATCTCTTGGTTTTGAAAGAATATGTGGGGGTTTTGCAGTTTTTCCAACTATTTTATCTAACTTTATTTCTGCAGGATGTTTGGAACTCAAATACCACTTACACAATTCTGAGGAAAAACTTCTGAAGAAACTAATTATACTATTTCCCATAGCAATGCTTAATATGCAAAGATTGCTTCTAAATCTGCTTTTCAGGTCATTCTTCTTTTCTTCACACTTCACCATTTTGACTTTCAATGAGGTAATTTCACCCTTAAGCTCATTAGTTTCCATAGGAAATGAATTATAAAAAATGCTAAGTGTGCCATATGAGGTTTAACATCAAAGACATTTCTAGACAGACCATGAATATACGTTGAAGCTATATTTGGTCTCTGTTGAGTGTTCTTTTCAGTCCTACTGAGTTTCAGTTGCTTGCTTTCGTTAGGTAAGTGTTGGCTTAGGAGTTGCATTTTTTCCTTGCAATCCAAATTAATCTTTAATTATTTAGAATAAGATCTGGTAGTTGACTGTATGAAGTAGTTGAATCCACTGTGTTTAGTTGTTACTCACATGCCCTTCTCATGGAGGGGGAGAGAACTGCACAGTTAAGATTGTTTTGTAACCAACTGCTCTTAAAAAAAAAAAAAAAAGTTGATTTCTGAAAGGAAACTTCAATTCATGTTTCTGTTAGCAAATTATGAACAATTTTTCTTTCTCTAATAGTGACAGTAGTTTAGCTGCTACCTAAGCTATAAGACAGTACTCTGCTTTAACCAAACTTGCTTATTGCTACTCTATATCCTAAAAATTAGGATGCATTTGCACCTTAAATCGTTCTGGTTGTTTTCCCATCAAGGCTCTGTGCTCAACCATGTAACTACCTGACAGTAAGAAACCGAGAGCACCGGATTCTTGTTGGTTTGTATAGCTTCAAGCTTTTATTCTGAAGCTCTGTATCCAACAATCAAATAAGCAAGGAATGCCCCCAGTCTTGTTTTGTTTCTTTTTTTAATGTCCTATTCAATCTACATAACACGCTGAAGGGAGTGTCTGGCATATTCCAGAATAATTATATTTTTTAAATAGTGTACATTATTCAAATCCAGTATAACTGAAAAGTGCTCCTTTTTGTTAGATCCTATAACATTTTAAGACATTTTTCCCATGCAATTGCAATTGAAACTTTCTTCCTCTTCAGCGAGTGTTTAGCATGCTTATCCCATTTGCTGCTTAGTTACAGTATGCAAAAGAGCACAGTAAAGTGACTGTATTACCACAAAGGTAAAACTGAATCCAGAGTCCATGAGCTGTGGGGTTTTCTGTCATGAAAAGATTGTGATGTGTTTCTTAAAATAATATAGCTGTTAGGAACAAGTGCTGTAGTAGTGTTTTGTTTTAAGAATTAATCTTAGTTGGTATTTACAGGTGGAACTACTACAGCACTCAGAACTTCCATTTTTAAGTTGAGAAGAATTTCAAAATGGAGGAAAATCTCTTTCAAGTTCTTTGAAGGTACAAAACAAAAGATACTGACATTTTTAACAGTTAATTGTAATGATCTGTCTAAAAAAACAAATAGAAACTTCAAAAGGCAAGCCAGGAATTTAAGCTTAAGTCTCCCATGTGCTGTGCTTCTGGTTGTTCCTGGTAGATTCTGCTCTTTAGTTACAAAGGTACCCGGTAGAGAAAGTCAGTGTGTAAACAACCTTGCTAGTTAGGTTACTGAGAAGAAAACCACGCTCTAAAGCTTGGGTGTTTAACTGAATGCTGCAGTAGTGGCACTGGTGTGCATCAGGACACATCTTGGTGCTCTGGGGCAGCATCTATCCAACTTAGTATTTCAGTAAAATAAACTGTCATTACATTGCAGAAGTTAATAGTTAAACATTTTTATTGAAAAAAAGCCACTTTCCCAGCCCATAACATATAGGTATTGTCAATAACTGAACACAATTACTTTTTCAAAGTAGATTTTAGTACTTCTATCTCTAGAAATGTAATAAGTAACATAACATTGACTCTGTTTTACGATGTGTATGAATTAACACAGTGGAAATCATTCGATGTTTAGAAGCCTGCAGTATTCTTTTTGTCATAAATATATTAATTCATCCCTCTGAATTATGTTACATTAATTTAAAAATAAAGCAAAGAACTTAGAGACAGAGTTTTATGCTTCAAAACTATTCAATGCCATCTGGTAATAATAAATGCTGAGATTTGTCTGCTGTTCGTTTGAGTCAACTGCTACAAGGCATATGTTTTTGCTGCCACTGTTACTAGATGCAAGGCTTATGTCTGTGTAGACACATACACAAAGTATTAGGTAAAACCTACAATCTTGTGTTGCATATCTCAGACATTAATAGGTGGCAGATGGAGACTGTAACAGCAGGTGAAATCATAAATAATTCAGTTAAATATTCCAGGAATCAGACTTAAATGCTTTAACATAGAAGGATTAAGATGACTCACTTGTCACACACTGTAGCTAATACGGGAGACTTGTATGGGAGATTTCTTCCTGGCACCTGTTCAGTAATATAATTTGCTTTAAAATAATATCTTATGTCAGCTGTAAAATACAGCTTCCTAGGGAATTTCTTTAATTTTACTATTTTTTTTAAAGCAAAATAATTCTAAGTTGTGATTTGAATATGCAAGATTCTTTAGCAAAGACAGGAAAATATCACCAGAAGGTAATTACAACAGTGATGGGATTATTAAAGGCAATAGGACAAGCAACCTTCCCTTTGGTTCTGTGCACCACTGACTGCCCTGGATTTGTAATCAAAGTGGCACAGGTACTTATTTTCTAAAAAAAAAAAAGGGGGGGATCACTTAAAGTTTGCTAGACTTGATTTTTGCCTTTTAAGTCTTGCCTGCAAAAGGAAGGGAAATAGTTCTCCAGTCAGTGTGCGTTACCAGTAATAAATAGTTGGTGAATATAGGATCAGAGCAGCTGCAAATATCTAAGTGTTGGGTGCTGAAAAGACTATTCCTAATGAGTATTTCAGTATTTTTGTACACATGTTCCTGTTGCCAGGAGGAGTTGCTTAAAAATGTAGCGGACTGAGGCATTGTAAGCTTATGTAGATCTAACAAAAATAAAGCTAGGTCAGACTTCAATAAAATTAGCGTACAGTATACTTCTGCTCAGTTTATCTGCACTCTTCTTTAATGAATTAGTATGTGAGATAATCATGATTTTTAATATTAAAGATGTTAATACTTGGTAAACTTTGTGCTAGAGTGCAGAAGTTATGAAATGTTTAGAATTGTTTACAAAACAGTATGCAAACGTGCAAGATGAATTCTTACTTGTACAGGCACACCTATGAGCACAATTTAACTCATAGCTTCTACCAGAAAGACTCAAGAGGTACCACAGTGACAGAGAACTGACTTACATTTCAGATATAAACCATGACGTAACCATCTCAGATGACTTTCATATCTCATTCCAGAAAAGACTTCCTGCAGTGTGAAATACCTTTTCAGATGCTTTCATGAATAAAGCATATCAAAATTCCATGCAGAAGAATAGGTTTGAGGTTAATGAGCAAAAGGGAGGATGGTATTTGTGCTGTTCTGTAGTACATATAGCTGTAATCCCAGTGGTGATTCAAAGACTACTCTCTGAACAAAGTTGTGTCCATGTATAGCTGTCGCACAACTATTTGGCACTGCTTCCACTCTGTTCATGTGCCTGCTGCCTCTCTTTTTGTGAACTGGTGGTTCAGTCTTTCTGAGAGCATCACTGGACTGAAGCTTGACATAGCGTAGGAGCAGCTAGGGTATCAAAGTTCTGTGAGGTCTCACTAGTATTAGCATCTACAACTGATGAGCTCTGCTGGTCCCTGGTAGAGTTAGGGACCTTCACCTGACTTTTGTATAAACCAGGAGATTTTGCCCAAAATGGAAGATTTGATGTTAAACTGGCAGAACTGTTACCCTCAACAGTCAGAACCACTGGTTGTTTGTCTGGTACTGTTACTTTGTACGCAGCATTTGGTTCAGACAGATGATCTCCACATTGACTAAGATGTTCAGCTAGGACCAGAGGCTGCTGATCATCTCCTTCTTCAGAAATGACGAAAACTGGTTTGTTTTTATCTGCTTCTCCCCCAAGGTCCTTTGTTTTTGAAGCATTGGCCAAGTTGATTTTCAAGGGGTTGGAGCTCTCCAGAGTACTCTTGGGGCTTTGGTTGTTAACTGGAGATGCTGCCCCTAGATGTCTTGAGGAATCCAAGGACCTCACGCGTTTGTTGTCAGGAGAACCAGCTAAAAATCCAAAGTAAGGATTTCCAAACCTGGATTTCTTCAGGTTGCAGGAGCTTAGCTTCCGCTGCCTTTGTGCAGACAGAGTGAGGGGGTATGAGGCATTGCTGACAGATGAATCAGAGTAAACTGTTTCTGAAGCTCCCTCTATCTCAGTGGCTGAAATCACCTTTCTGGTTGGAACACCTTGGATTCTTGCAGCTGTAGGAAAACCCTGCGCAAAAAAATAATAAATTAGTAGTCATGCTTTGAAAAGTGACTGTCTTAAGAAACATCGATCCCAAGGGAACTAACAAACAGTTAAAATTCCTTGTTATGGTACAGGTAAGATATTTCCTTCTGCAAAAGTCTGTTATGACCTTTTCAAATAAATCAAATAATATCCTTGATTAGCTTTGTAACAAGCTCTGTTGCTATGATGACAATGGTCAGTGAGACCTATATATATGTATCTCCCATGTCTACAGATTCTTTGCTATGCAATAGTAATGTGTCAAATTTAAGGTATCACCAGGAAAAAAATATATATGTGAGAAAACTCAATGAATGCAGCTTCTTAGCACTTCAGGAAGGCCAGAATAAATTACAATATAGTTAGGCAAAAGAATTCCCAGTACACTAAGCAAGATGGGCCAAGATGTGCGTTGTACCTGCAGATTAGAGGAGCAAAGTAGGGGCACTGAAGCTGATCACCCCATGCTCTTCTCCTAGTAAGACTTACACTGTTGTCAACCAGCTTTGTGAAGGGACTATTGGTGGTCCAGCTACACCACTTTTTTTGTAGCTGTGGTATTGGAGCCAGGAAGTCATGGAAAGTGCGGGCACTCCAGGTGCGTTGTCTGGGATAATGATTTTCCATCTGGACATTCCTCTTCTCAACAGTATCTGTTCCTGCAGCCATGTGACCAGAAGTCACCCAGTCAGACACAGAGCCTGGGCTTGTGACACTTCTTTTTAGGTTTTTGTCCTGAAATAGTAAATAAATATTGTTAGCAATGTTTCTTGTCAACAGGTTTTAAAAACACTTTAAAAGCGACTTCTAGTGCAAGCAATTAATTTCTTCAGTGGTTCTTTTTCTCAAGATAAGACACAGGAATGCAACTTGTTTCTCTTTCAATGTGCTGCCTTGAAGTCAGCGCCTTCCCTGGGCAGCAGTTTTACCTTGCTTCTTCAATTTCAGGCTTCTTCTTGAATTGGGAAATTCCACTTAGGTAAGAAATAGAATCCTACCGCTAACTGCATATCGAACACAATGAAGTTCTAGCAATTTGATGTGTATTTGACTGATTACAGTACTAAACTTTGCTGTGCAAAACATAATTCCTCCTCTCTGCTTGGCTCTTGGAAGGCTCCAGCTGCATCTTTATAGGGAACAAAACCCCAGGGTGGGGGAATGAGGCCCACTGAAAGAAATTTAGAAGCAAGAGACTTAGAAGTCTAAAAAATGCATAATTCTAGAAGAAAGCCTGAAGTAAGTGGTGCTCTTTAGTCTCAGTTTTGGAAGAACTAAAGGAACAATAATTTTTTTTTTTTAAAGGCAGTAATCTGTTCTCAGTGTCTGTGGTAAAAGGAACAAGACACAAGGCCCAGAGTGGAGCCAAGGGGATTTTCAGTTCACATAGTAAATGTTTTTTTGGGTGCTCTACCTGGAGCTGAGCACGAAACCATTCTCACCAGCTCTGTGTATGAGAATTGCTCTGACATAGGAATGAACTATGGCCAACTTGTAAGGATGCCATGCTTGCTTACTGTATATGTTCTTATATTGATTTTAAAATCACAGTTTTTCTTCCTAAAATGTATGTGGCTTTAGAAGCAGAAAAGCTAAAGAATTCCTCACAAGTCCTATGAATCTCCTTCTGTGCTTGCTAACACTTCACCTGTTGTTAATATAAGCCCCTTGTTCCATAACTCTGCATGTATTTTTAATTTTCAGCTGTGCGAATATGGCTGTCATGAGAAGAATGCGAAATCCACATTCCCAGAGTTTACACATTTCTTAAAAAGAGTCTGAAATAAATCCCACAGTGTCCTGGATTTAAAAGGCCCAAGAGACCAACAGCTTCTCATTTGTTATTTCTGATAAAAAAGTCTCCCAAGTTTCCACAAATCAGAGAAACTATTTCCTTACAATGTCATGTTGGAAAAGGATGGGCAGAGAGGCGAGAAATGAGCTTCTCTGTAGGAAGCTGGCAGAGGTTCTATTCATGCTCCGGATAAATTTGTTTCAATGTTAAGTTCTTAGTCTCAGATTTGATTAAAGGAACAGTCTTTATATAAATGCATAGTAATCCAGCTGTCTTCTCCTGAGAAGCCTCTTTAGGCCATCTTCGGGCTTATTATTTTGATGATTTTGAGACAGATGCACTGGGAGCAGCTACCGAGATTAATAATGTATTTTCTAGATCTTTAAAAATCTTTTAGCAAAAAACTTGTCTTAAGTACTCTCTTATTCTTTACCCAAAACCTATTCATCTGACACTTGTCGGGATAGAAGGCAGATCAGAGTTACAACCTAGCCAAAGACTGAGTGATACTTTAAAACAAATAGGACACATAGCTAATGAAGAACGTCCAAAGGAGGGCTACAAAGGTTGTGAGGAGTCTGAAGGCAAGGTGTGTGGGGAGCACCTGCGGTCCCTTGTTCAGCTGGAGTGGAGGAGGCTGAGGGGAGGCCTCGCGGCCCTGCAGCTCCTCATGGCGGCTCTTTGCAGTTTGCTTTGTTTAAATGAGCATTTGGGGTGAGATGAATCTGAAGACATTTACTATGCTCAGGGTTTCACACATTTTTCCATGTGAGGATTACTTGTCAGTTCCTGCCTCTGGCAGGCAACTCCTGCCTGCCCAGTGCTGGCCTGCCCACACGCTGGGCTGCGTACCCGGCTCCTGCAGGGCTTAGGGACGAAACTCAGGAGCTGGGTGGCCAGCTGAGATGTGTCTTGCACCCTAAAAATTCACACACCTGGAAACTAGATTGTGAACAGAACTCATTTTTACCTCTAATATTCAGTAACCCTCAATTAACCTAGGTTGAGTGCAGGTGTGCAGATGGCCTGCTGGGCCCAATTTCTGCCCCCCTCAGAGAGGATGGCCTGCAGCTGTGCTCAAAGAGCCTGTTTCTAATGATGGCCCTTCACCCTTCCCAGGTATGTTTTTGGATCTTCTGAGGGGTTAGTACTGATTCCTTGCATGCAAAAAAGACATAACTGAAAAGGAATAGCCTTCTGAGTTGATATGGTGGTGAATCACTTAAATTCTTTGGTTATGTGCACATAGAATTGTTTGAACACTATATTATATGTATATATATACATGTAAATCTGCTATGCTTACTTGTGGAAGGCATGGTATAATAGAAATGCTTTGCTTTAAGCATTTCTTCCTTCTGACTAGTGAGGGGGAAGAGGAAGGAAAATGGGTTTTCTCTTAATCCAGAAATTGTATTTGTAAGTGGTTGCCACCAGGTGAAGCTCTCTCCACTGGAAAGAAGGACCAAGAAATAGAGGGTCCTGATCTGGGCGCTGATACAGTACATGTGCTCTGCTCCTCAGAAAGCAACGTGCTTCAGTCAGGAAGAGCACTGGAGCTGTTTTTCCTATTCTTGTCTTTCTTTTCTGTTAATCAGTGTGGTTGATTGGAGGAGGAGTTCAGCATATGTCTGGTACTAGTGAGGGAAATTTCTAATCAGCCTGCATCTATGGGTAACTTACAAATCAACTTCAGGGATACAGAATGCTGTTGCTCTGTAATCTGTGATTAGAAACGTTATGTGGACTGTCTTGGAGTAGGCAAGTTCCTTACGCTGATTCTTTCCCCTCTTGTGGGGAAAAAAAGGAGGATTTTGGATAGTGTTGACCTGGAACGGTTTTAATGTAGACTTGGAAAGGACTTGCACTGATAATCGCTAACTTGTGATGAGGAGAGATCTCAGAAGTCTCAGATCTGGCTGCTATCATCTACTTCTAAATAAGTGTGAAGAGGAAGGAGCTAAAATAAGGAAGGTTACTAAGATGATCTAGGTTTGTGTGTGTATATTTGAAAGGGTGCCAATGCTTTCCCTTTAAGGGTTTGGTTTTTAGAATAAACGTTAATTTTTCGTGTGAGCTGGGGAGACACTGACGTAACTTTCTGGCAAACTGAGAAGCTGAAGAACTTGTCTAACCACTTGGTAGTGGTGTGCAGGAATGGGTCTGGTCCTAGGTCCTTTGGTCGTTACAAGTGATGCTCATAACTACATATTATATTTAATGGAATGCTATCTTTGCTAATTAACAGATATTTCATGACAGCTGGTGCTTCAGCTTGGTGGCATATCTCTATATGCTCTATTATAATATCCCAAGTGGACTTGTAGACCTGATCTTATGAAAGCTGAGAAGATGCTGGCTGAGGGATCACAGCCCACATGTTTTTGTAGCAGCTCTGCCTGATAGTTGGGAGAACTGCCTGGCTTGGTTGCTACTACTCCTGCAAACTAGCAAGCATGAGTGAAGGAATGCGACAAGTGCTGTCCAAGAAGGACGTTGTGTGGCTTGCTATGCCTCTAGTGATGTCCAGGAGTGTTCTTACCTGTATTCTGTAGGTAGTAAAGCTCAGTCCACTGGCTCCAGGTCCAGCAGAAATAATGAACACTTCATCGCTCCCTGTCTCGGTGGTCACTGCAGAGGTGGAAGAGGGCACATCTGGGTCAGTATCCTGAGGAGACTGTTCTGTGCTGCCTCTGCAGGAAGTGACTGAGAAGAGAAAATCCATATAAAAACAACTGAGGAGAGCCCAAAACATCTGTTCCTAGCTCCTCTATGACAACTGCCTTTCCCTCTCTCCCCGGACAAACTAGAGCCATTTTGAGCAGAAAAACCAAGTTTCTTCTCCTGAACCTACAAGCTTTTAAAAATAAGACAGAAGGGAATGAGGGGAAGAAAGGAACAACCTTGGGTCTGCTGTTTAATAAAGACAGACCCAAACTGAAATCCACCATACTAAATGCACAAGGTTTTCCTGTAGGTCAGATTTTTTTTTTTTTTTTTTTAATCCATATATACTTATTCCTGATAATGATGAGCTCTGCTTTTTCTCTGAAGTGCAAGCATTTTCTGCTTGAACCCTGGCAATATTGCTCCCACAGGCAGCCATATGCTGCAGGTACCTGCTTGTATTCCCAAGGCCTAATCCTCTAGTCCAGGCCAGGATATCTCTGCCTGTGGCTCCTGGCTGTGATCTTCTCAATGATCTTTGGAAGCAAGTAATTAGCTTTTGAGGAAGATACCACTTTCAGAATTGTGTGCAAAAGTTGACACTCTAGTGGGAAACGGATGGCGTGTAGCAATGTATTGTGAAGTGGCCCCTTGTTGGCCCTCCCCCAAAAGGAGCACTAATAGAATTCATTGATTGTAACTCAAAATTGCAACAAGTGACGTTATCTGCAGCTTGGCTGGCGAACTCCTGCTCTTGTTTTGGAAACACACATCTAAAGCAGTCTGACTTGAAAAGCTCTTCAGAAAGTCAGCTCCAGCAGTCAAATATGTCCAAAGCCAATGTAAGCATTATAAAACTCATCCTTTTCCAGGCAAGGTTAGGCACGGGGCAGATGAGCCATCCACAATTTATGGATTATCATAAGCTGCAGTTGTAGCAGCCTGAAGCAGACACATTAGCTTTGCTAACCCAGTGTTTCTGCAACACTGTGTACTATGACGGCTTCTGCTGGCAGTGTCCTGAAGCTGTGCCCATGCGCTCCTTGCCAGGGGAATTGCCCTCCCAGGGAGGGGGGAGAGCAGCAAGGGATATTCCCACAACAAAGCCTTTCTGCTGTCAAGTAGCTCTCCAGCTGTGCATGAGCGAGGCGGGTGGGGAGAGAAATGGTCTGATTAGCAGGCCGGGGCTGCGGGGTGCCCTGACCTGCTCCTGGGGCGCGCCGCGCTTACCCGCCTGCTCCCGGCTGACAGAGTGGTTGTTGTTTTCATTCTCCCGACTTGGCACCACGAGCTGGAGCTCATTGATATCAACAGCGGAGTTCTGGATCCCATTCTACAACTCAGAACATGCCCCAGTAAACATTGTCAGATAAACAGTGCAACAGCCAATATGAAAGAGAGAAACAGAAATTGCTGAAGCCATTAGCACTAACCTCCTGGTCACTGCATACGTTGGATGAGCTCCTTTTGGGGCACGTTCTCTGCCTGAAAAGGAGAGACAGCAACAACAACAACAAGCCCACAAGTGAGTTAGACCCAGAGAAGGGAAGGTCTTGGCTCATTTAGTGGGAAGTCAGCTGGAGAAGGACCTGTCTTCCTCCCATGATCACCACAACAGTGGAAACAGAGTTCAGACCTCTTCAAAGTCCTGCCAGCCTTCCCTCCATAGCGAATAGTGCATAGTGATGTGCTTTTTCACATCAGTAACTAAATAGCAGGACTGAAATCCTTTGGTCTGAGCAGTGACATTGTTCTTGCTCTGTTAGACTATTTCATCTGTGTAGTCAGTATTGCACTCTGCGTTGTATTTAGCAAGCAGAGAACATCAGATGTTCATCTGCATGACCATTTTATTAAAAGGAGTAGCTAGGGCAGATAATTACCAGCTAAATGTGTCTGCTGGACTGAAGGGAAACAATCATATTCATCTTTTTTTATTTTTTATTTTTAATAAATATGATACCATGAAACAACAAGTGTTATTTATATACTGGATGAATATGATGAGAAGATGTCATGAAGAAAAGCTGAACGTGATTATGACTAAAGCAAGAATACTTTGGTGCGCAGCTGTTTTTCATGCAACAGTGCAGAAAACAAGTGCTATGTGACCTGTTATTATTTTTCTCTCATATCTATGGCTGGAGGGGCTGGTTTAAGGCAGTTAACATCTTCTATATAAAGTTTGTGGTGGTGCCTTCTGAGGGGTGTGTTGAAAGCAAGATTACAAGTTTTCAGGCACCTTTTCATTACTGCTTCTCTCTAAGACATGGGGGCTCAGAGGCTGCCTGGTAAGTCTGCCCAAGGGACAGCATCTGCTCCATCTTGGTTGTGGTGGGTTTCATTCTTTCACTGTGTCATTGGAAGACTTAACAAACTATTATTGACTCTCAGTTGAATTGAGAGAGGAAAAAAACCTGATGTGTCTCCAAGACTATTCCTAATGAATATGGAGGAGACTACAGAAAGAGGAGAGCAAGTTAGCAGTTCAGAATTTAATTCAGAAGGGATGCAGAAGGATAGCTGTTACTGTAGGAGGCGAGATCACATTGGCTGAGCTGAAGCAGGGAAAGCTCTTCCTTAATTTGGGTTTGTGGAGAGGGACCAGAGAGATTTCCAAGGAGAAGAGGTCTTTCCTCACTGGAGAATTGAGATTAAGCGAAGAAGGAAATACTGCACAAGTACAAGAAAGATAGGAGAGAGAAGAGTCCTGTACCTCTCAGTTTAAATGAGGATAGAAAAGGCTAACTGGTTGGAATGTTTTAACTTTTTCTTTTTAACTTTTTCTTTCCTCATTGTGGCTCGGCTATTGATTCCACTGAACAGTTTGATTTACTGTCAGAAACTAGCTCTTAGAAAGGCTAAAGTTTTATAGATTCACCTCCAAAAAAATTTCTGGTGGCAACCTGAGATTTGATTCTTTCTACTCAGAACTGTTGCCACAGTGTCTGGGGAGATGCTCTAGTTTGTGACACTTGGGCTCTTGGACTTTCTTTAGCCCTCTCTCCAACTGGACTATGTTTCCCACAGCATGCTGCAGTGCCTGGCCACCACAGAGGGGAGTGATTCAGATCAGTGCATAGCTCATGCATATGAAACACCCGGTGTACAAATAGTTTGGTTTTCATCAGTTAAAAGAATGCACAGTTTAAAAAACAAAAATTGCTTAAACCTTCCCAAGTAAAGCAAATATTCAAATCTGTTGAAAGCTTTGTGAAAATTGCCCTGTGCTCCCCTACCCTCTCCATCCATCTGTGTTTCTAACTAAACTACCTCCAGATGAACAGAAGATGGAGGCCAGCTACAAACAGGCAGGTAGAGGCTTCTGGGTTTTGCCTACCATGAGGATGACAGAGAAAAACTCTGTTTTTAGCCCAGAAGTGACTAGAATCTTCTAAGAGAGCGTTAAATGGGGAAGGAGAAGATCAGGCTGCAGGCCGTGCCTAGCAGGGTGGCTTGTATGGAGTGAAATGGAACACAACAACTTGAGGAAATAACTGTATGCAGAGAGGGGTTGTAATTGGAAACAGGTCACTGGCAGGCAATACAGATGTAAAATGCAGTTGCAATCCACAGGTTGCAGCCATCAAGCAAAAGTCTGGCTGCATTGGATGGGATTAAAATTAAATAAGGTGGACGTGTCTCTTGTTCTTGGGGCTTGGGAAAGAAAATAAAAAATACCCCATTGCTTGAGCCAGGCCTCATGGCCAAAAGTAATTAGAATTATTGGCCAACTAACAACTGAAGCTTTCATTTCCTCCCCAAACAGCAAACAAAAGCTGCAGTGTGGTGGAGACTTGGAGTTTCCCCAGAGAGCTTTGCCCTGGCTGAATGCAATGAGCCTAAGCAGACACTGCTGACGACTTGGTGCATTGGAGTGGCAGCAGGTGCCAAGCTTGGCCCGAGGCATTTCTAATCCTGGCAAAGATAGCTCCCTGCTACTTTTAGCTGAGCAAGATCATCACATAGAAATGGTAAAAAACACTGCTAAATGCCAATGTGGTACCAGAGGAACAAGCAAAGCAGAGGAAAAAGTGGGAGGCAAGTTTACAAGGCCAAGAGCTTGAAGTTTACTCTTAGCATCTTCTGGTGAGGTCTCCTCTGCAATGGCACATCCCAGCCAGGGCAAGAATTGTCACACCTCGGAGAGCTGGTCCCATTTCTGAGTGTGCTGTTACCAAAGCATCTTCACTTCTCCCCACAGCCCACCCTGTGCAGTCCTGGCATTTTCAGCAGTGAGGATGGGCTGTGGCTAAAATGCACACAACACATGATTTCAAACCAGTATCTAGAGCAAGAAGCATAAAATGCTTCCTGGGCTCAAATTAAAAATTGTTTAGATGTGCTTAATGGCCTCTGCAGCCTTATTCTGAGCTGCATTACAGTTAGAAACTGTAGCTTAGCTCCAGCCAGCACCAGTGGTGCTGGGGCCGGAGAGTAATATCCTCAAAGTATTAGAGCAGGAAAGATGGAAAAAGCATTTTCCAGTGCAGCCTCAGTGAGGCTGCTCAGCAACAGGACATGGTGTGACATTTCCAACCATGTCAGATCTCACATGATTTTTAAAGCAAGAAATAAAAACGTAATGTAATCGAGGCCTCCCTAGAATAGTGCACAGGGAATACAGGCAGCCAGGTTAGCAAAGGGCCCCATCTCATGAGGTGAATGTCTATGGACAGTGTCCTCTATATACAGTCAATATTAATATATCTCCCTACCAAAAAAAAGTGGCAATAGAAGGGCGGCCATGCAGATGTTACAAGAAACAAGCCTGTCCCTGGTGCTGTGCCATGGTGACTGTGGTAGGATGTGCTCAGTGATCAGACTGCATGACATTTCTGCAGGGTGAAAAAGGCATTCAGTTTTCTATGCTGGTCAACAATGGCATGCTTTACATGCTTTGCAAATATCTGAGAAGCAAGAAAGCAAATTGTACTTGTGAGCAGCGTGGCCTGACTTTCTGAGCAGTCTGCACAGGGCACCTTCAGGCAGTGGAAGCTCAGACTGCTGTGTTCTTTGGTTTTAATAACATGCAGTTTCATGGATAGCTGCAGTGCAATTAAATGGCAAGAACTGCCTACTTAACATGTGCATCAGCCCAGGATGCTGCCATAGCAAAGGCAGAGTGTTTCTGTTGCTTTTGAAATTTGGCAAGGGTATAAAAATAATTTAGTGTCTGGAAGACATTTTCCACCAGACATTTTCCTTTAGAACTAGCAAAAAAATGTAGTCTAAATTAGTGTTTGGCAAGGTCTTCATAAAGGAAGGTTAGTCAGATGTAGCACACGTAAGATTAACTCTTATAACTATGAAAAGCCCAAATTCTGAAAGCAGGAATTTCTCTATGCAGCAAGAGTTTATTTGATTCTAAGATTATTAAGATTATATTTAGGCTCCACCACCTCACTCATGTTTTCTTATTCTAAGTTTGGCAATGGCCTGTATTTTGTGTTTATTCAGCACAGCTAGTAATGCAAATCCAAAAACACAAAAAACGAAGTTCCTTTCTCAATCCAGCCTCGGTTATGAGCAGTTGCTGGGCCACTCTGAGACCTTCTGGGTTGGAGGATGCACAGGGCAGAGGATGCAGGAAGAAGGGACAGACCAGTTGAATGGTGCTGCTGAGAAATAAGTGCTGTCACAGTCACCCCATCAGATCCCTGCAAGGGATGGTGTTTGTTTCAGTTCTCTGAGGCTCGCAGTGCAGTCAAAATATTTGAAAAATACCATTTCACAAAAACGTAGGGAGCTCCTGCTTTGTTTTGCATTTGTTGGAAGGGAAAAAAATGTTTTCATCAGAGTTAGCAAGAAAACAGCAAACATAAGCTGGGGTGTGGAGAAGCTTTGTCCTGATAGATACATCAGGAGAAAACAAATAAAAGCAATTGAGTGGAGAGGAATGCTTTTGTCACTGGCTGGTTGTAGCTGTTTAGCTAGTTAGGTCAGCCCCTGGGCCCAGTCCTTTCAGATGACATCTGGGGACAGGCACAGATAGCACAGCACAACTCTCAGCCTTTCCCAGGCAGAGAGCAGGCTCTGCAGATACATGCCGACCTCGTGAGTGCGTTAGAATTAAAATGTCTGTACTACCTCTTGGATAAAACTTGCTTCAGATTGGAAAACACTAGGTAACTGCATCTTAATTCCAAGCGGCAGTATTTTCAGTTACTTATTTTTCCGCAGAGCATTAGTGATGGTTAGATTCGAAGTCAGAAGACACAGTGATTATCAGCTCAGCCTGCCTGGGAGATGTGGGGAAGGGTGCTCTCCACCCTGCATCTGTCCATCGGCCACTATGGGACCAAAACTGAGAAATATGTATTGAAACTAAATAAGGACCAAGAAAGACCTCACCCTCTGGGTATTTCTGCAGGGGAACAAAAAGAAAAAAGAAAAAAAAAAAAAGAAAAGAAAAAAGTAAATAAGAGGTACCAGAACTGTAGAACTGGGAAAGAAAACTGTGAAGCATAGGGGAGGAATAGAAACTGGCTTTGGTTTCCTCTACCTCCATGCACTACTGCACCAAAAGGACAGCAAGCATTAGCAGAGCAAAGAAAATGTGTATTTGTTTTCTGGTTTTCCTGTCCTGTACAGATAACATCACATGCTTCAGAGGCTCAGACATCCATCATCTTACCTGCAAGCTATGCAGAGGGCAGAGAGCAAAGCAAGTGCAAAGAAGACGGTCCCTGTTAAAATTGCCAGCATCAGTATGTTTTCCATTCTCTCCTGCCTCACAGCATCCACAGTGTTGGGTTCCGTGATGTTCTTGTATTCAAAGAGCATTGCGAAGCCTCTGCCCCGGTTGGTGGTGGTAATGAGTTCCATGATAACCTCAACCATTTCCAGAGACGAACCAAAGACCATGGTCCTGTTTAAAGGTGAATTTGGTCCACAGAAACGAGAGGAAAACGTGATGAGATCTGAAACATACAGTACATCGTGGGGACAGACATCCACTGCCGGCTGCTGGCTGGAGATTTCCACTGGCAGTATTGTTGTGGGAAGCGTCCAGCTCTCTCCCAGACTTTCATCTCTCTCACTAGCAGCTAGATGGGCAAACAAAATATTGCCTTTCCAACCTTCTTTTGTTTCTTGGCCGCTAACATTTTGCCTCTGTGTTTTGGCACCACCAGAATCAGGTAATGGCTGTTCTTCTGTTTGAGTCTCCGTAATCGCTTTGGGTTCCTTCATCTGTTTTGACTGGTTTCCTTCGGACATCTGTTTGGCTTCATCTTTCCTTGAGGCTGCTCCTGGAAGTTCGTCCAGGTGGCCAGGAAGTCCTTTTGACTGATCTTCTGCACCGCTCAGATTCTGAGCTGCCTTTGACATCCAGCTCTGAAGAGAGGATTTTGTAGTCTGGAGAACAAAGTCCAGGTTTTCCTCGGGAGGAGTCACGTCCTTATTTCCTGTTATCGCAGCAGCTGGAAAGCCATCCCAAGGGGTTGGAGTTTCACTAGAGCTCTCAAAAATGTCAAAGTCAAAAATTTCCAAGATAAGATGTGTTCTTATGGGAATGAAAAATTGCCAAACGCAGTGTGTCCCCGGGTAGTAGTTGTTTGGAAATCCTGGTGATAAAATCAGGCCTCTTTCCATTGACTCCACCACCGCACCACAGGAATAATAGACCTGGGAAATAGAATAAATACACTTACTTCTTGCCAGAGACAACATACAAGACGCAGCACGCTGGACCTACAGAAGATCTTACCCCTTCCCCTCAGCGACTGGTGTAAAGTAGACTTTTACAGGCTTCATGAATTCCAAGTTCCTGAGGCTATCTTCTGCTTTCACATTTAGAGCCTTAATCTCTAATATGGACAACCAGTCTCAGAGACTGTGAGAGTGCATACTGAGCACACAGCTTCTGAAGAAATATATAATCCAGATGAGCAATTCATGCAATGTTCATTTTCTATCCCTATTCCAATTATAATAGCGTCCCTTTCTGCTTTTGGCTAATGTACATTCCCAGGTTACTGAATCCTGAATACATTTGTTGTTGACACACAACTCTTCGCTGCACAAATGTGTCATCCTAAACAGCTTGTAGTGTGATAAAAACCTTAAGCTGAAGAAAAACTGTGTCACTACAGCATCTTGAATTCTATGTTATTTTCATTACAAAACCACTTTTTTAAGTGCAAAAAGGCCCTTGCACTGATGATTATCTATGAATCATCTAAACAACTTATCTTGGTGTCAAAGACATTCAGATTTGTTTACTTCAGTAATAGAGGCAGTTTTGATTGGGTACATTTTCTCTTCAAATGCAAAGCCTCTGGAAATAGTGCCAGCAGATACCCCTCCCACTGGTAGGCTAACAATCTGCAAGCATTTTGCATAACAGTGATAGTTCCGTTTGAAATTCATTTCTTCTTTCTCCATAAATAGCATTCACAATCCAAAAGGAAGAAATGGTTGCACTACCGACCATTCTGCTTCTTTAAAGGTAGGTGAGGCTGTTTTCACACATCATATTTACAACAACCTTTCCCAGAAATATGCTCCTGGAGCCCTTTGTCAAGATGCTTTCCATAAACGTGGAGGGTGCAGAGCCCTGTCTGTGCCTGGGGCAACAGCTTTTGAAAAGGAGAAAAAATAAGTCACAAGTGCTGAGGTCATGAGCCTTGTCTAGGAGAACGTGTTTACTATCATTAACTGGAAAAGAAAGGGAATGCTTTGGGGGGTTGTTTTTATTTTTTATTATTACTGTTGGAAATGATTCATTGTCTCAGTCTGTTATCTATTTAAACACAAAGAAAGCTTGGCAGTAGAACAAACAAAGCTTATGAAGTCCATATAAAGCCACAAAGATCAAAATACTCCGGATTTCTTTTTTTTTCTTCTCCTGGTCCCTCCCCCCGTCTCATGTTGAAATGGAAAGAAAAAAAAAACAAAAACAAAAACAAACAACCCAAATGTTAAAAGTCCATAAATAAAAACAAAAATGCTGGGTGTTCTGCAAGGCATTAGCTTTGTTTTCCAACAGGTGCTTTTCATATTCAGAGTAATTTCGGGGGGGTGGCAGGGCAGCAATAGGAAAGGACCAAAACAGTGGTGAAATAGAAATTGTTTTCTATACTCCAGGCTGAAATCTGATCTTTGATTTTTAAAAGTGCCTCTTAAATCACAGGTTGAGCTAATTATAGGGGAATAAACTGCAGGTTTCTCATTTAAGGCACCTGGACCATGGCTTAAAGTTTCAAGTGAAAAAGAAACCATGCAGAGCTGCTCAGATTTTCTGTCTGATCATTGGCACTATGCAGCAAGTAATGCAAAAAATGGCTAAGCAGTATGCCATTTTCTCCAGGAGGTAATTTGTTGTTACTATTATTCTAGTCTAAATCAGTTTATTCAAGTAGAAATCCAGAGGAAAACATTGTCAGTTTAGGAGGATACAGATCCTAACTTTCACGTTTACATCTGAATTATGGATGCATTTGTTGTCACTTTGGAAATGCTGTTGATAACTAGCTGGTTCCCAGTGACTGTACCTTTTCTTCCCTTAGGGAGAGGATTACTCTGTGACACAGAGAGTTTCCCTGTGAGGTCCCTCTGTCCTGGGGTGGCCGTGCAGATTGTCTTCATTTTGTGGTAGTCTCTTGAGCTCACTCATAAGTAAGATACTGGTGTAACAAAACGCAGCATGTAATACCTAACTTTCCATTTAAAAGAAGCATCCAGTTTTGGAGCCAGAACGTGCACCAGAACTGCTGCTGCTGAAGGTCTGTAGGAGGATTTCGTGTGGGCCCAAACTTCCTCAGTTAGCGCTCATCGAGGGTTGAGGTTTTGTTTGGAGGAACATGCCGACTGATCGAGTTCTCTTTTTTCAGATACCAAGAAGGCAGTTGGAGGTGTTCACAGCCCCACCTCTCCTACCAGAAGACTCTGCTAATGTCTAAAAGCAGCAGCCGTCAGCTCAGCGGCTCTCACGCTGAATGGGTAAGTGCCTTCCTATGCATTTCTCAGCCCTATTCTCAAGTGAGGTACACTTTCCTGGCTTCGCTTCCACCTGAATCTGTCATCATTTGGAGAAAAATACTGTGCAGACTCTGCACGCACCTGAGGAGCCTCAGGTCCGAGCTCAAAGGCCTCTTGCTCCCCACAGGCCACATGGCTGCCAGCCACTGCAATATTTCGCTGAATCCCAACAGGTACCCATGCCCACAGGTGGGGATTGGGAATTGTGCAACATGTGCATTCAGAAATACATCTGACAGGTCATGGCTGCAGGGCAATCATTCATTTGTTATGGCCCATGAGACTGAAAACATTCAAGATTTGCTCAGACAACAGGGAAAAAAAAACCCAAGGGACAGGAAACACAACATAGATCTGAGGGTGGGGAAAAAAAGATTTCTGATAAATTTCTAATCCAGAACTGAATGACTGACAACACTGCTTAGTTCATTTACATCATCCATTTTGAAGGCTGAATTTCATCAATTAGACACAGATGTTCCCTTCCACAGCAAGTGGTATATTCACAGGCTTTTGACAGAGGCATGCAAACAATTTGGCACGTTTTAGTCTTTGCAAATTATAGGTTGTTTGTTTTTTAAAAGCAACAGTTTTTACACCAATTAGGCCAATTATGAGTAGGGTGGAGATTTATTTATTTTTCCTTTATTTTTTTTTTTGTCTGCTAATAAGACAACTCCTTGAGAGTGTTGATGAGAGGCACAGCAAAATTCTGTGGACTCGGAAGGAATCTCTTCAGAAGCATGGAAGGTAGAAAGCATAGTAGTTTCCAGGCATGCAAAGGGGTGGGATTGGGAATTACTATTGTACTGAGATGTGAAATACAGTGACTTACTATAGGAAATTGTAAGGTATGAGGAAAAGCTGGGTGTTCACCAGACAGCAGGGCCATGTATAAGGCAGCTGGCCCACAGGAGCTCTTCAGTGATGGGTACTGGTCTCTGCCCAGTCACTAGAGGCAGGCAGGGCTGAGTTTTTAGGCTTGGCTGGCCTGCCTCCAAAAGTGGAATGCTTCTAGCATGAGGTGGGAGCCTGGAGGGAAGGTGGGGAGGGTGCTGTTCCAGGTAGTCTGTAAGAGGAGGTGTCACGGTGTGTGGTTTGTCTTGTAAAGATGGAAGCCCTGTTGAAGAGGAGACGAAGTGATGGAATGTGCTGGCTAGGGAAACCCTCAGACTATTTGTGTTCATAGCTTTTGCTGCAGCCCAAAGAATGCAGTACTGATACATTTCTTTCATTCATGTTAATGCTGGCATGAGGAGTTGCTGTTTCCAGCACCCTGGAGGTTGCTGTCCTGCCTGTATCTCATGCACAGTCCCAAAGGCATTTTTCTTATGAAGTGTTTGCTTCATAGAAGAGAAAGGAGGACATCCTGTTTTGATGTTTGTCATTCCTCTGCCGGCACAATCTCAGATTCTCTGCCTTGGGTGCTGCCCAATGTAGTTTGTTTTCTTTTACAGCGTAGTCACCCAAGGAATATCAAGCTGTCTTACTGTGCACACAGAGCCAGAGTGAAAGCCTCAGCAGAGCAAGCTGGAGGCATACAGCAGAGCCACTCCATTTCCAAGACATTCTCAGGGGCCAACCCCCGTACTTAACAGAGATACCAAGTTGCAGGCACACAGGGAAAAGATGTGCAAAGATCATAACCTACTTCTCCCTCATTCATGCATTATGCACATCTCGATTTCTGTGCATTTCTCACATGTATTTCCAGTTTTAGGCAGACTTAAAAATGTCACTTCCACTTCTCTTTAGAAACGCCAGAGAAGGAATAATCAGCTACATCTCAAGCTGACTGAGCGTTTAAAAGCTGCTGCATTTATTAGTGTCTTCAGGAACAGATGTGATTATCTCCTTATCCAAGTTAAAGGGCTTTTTGGTCTTTGCTTGAAGGCTGCACTAGAAAGATTTAATATTGTTGTAATGAGAGAAGATGGGGATAGAAGTTGTTTATGCAGACCTTAGGCATCACTCTTAAGTCAAAATGTTTGGTTATGATCCTGTGCTTATGACCAAAAGAGCCTTTTATGTTTCATCTTTTCTTGCAAAATGCATCCACTAAATAAATGATACTTCACTGATTATTGGGGTACTGGGGAACTGGGGAGATAGCAAAAAGAGAACTCCTCCAGGTAGATTTTCTTGCTTTGCTTCAAAAACCTAATCCCCTACGGCCACTTAGTGCCAAAACAGGACTCCAGGAAACATATGGCCCTTCTACAGAAGCCTTATCTTGTCAGCCTCCAGCTGACTCTACAGCAACCATAGGGATATGCAATTAGCTTTTGGACAGAGATGGATTGGTCTTAGAATCCAAGATTGTTCAGTCTGGGTGACTAAATTTAGCCATCTGAACTCACCATGGTATCAGTGGAGTGAACAGCCAGCAAGCTTTATTTAGGATCCCTCACCCTCCAAAATTAAGTACGTCTTATGTCCACGCATGCACGCACATGTGTGTTTTTTTCAAAGAGCTGGCAACACTTTAATGCTACTTCACCAGCTCCTTCACATTTTATTCTGCCCCAGGGACCTCTTTAAAACCCTGGATCCACCAATCTCTGCAATTGGTGCAGAGGGAGGTAAGGAATCTCGGTTACTTCCCCCTCCAAACACAGGAGGTTCATTTTGAGTTAAATATCACTGGGACTCACTGGGGTGACTGAACAGAGCCTGCCATGTGGGATGTAATACCAAGTGGCCTGACCTTTTGGCACAGCAGGAAGAAAATGCTGAACTTCAGACTTTAGAAAGAAAAAAAGAAATACAGAGGGAAAGAGGGGAAGTGGCCATTCCCTTCTTTGAGCTTAAGGGGGAAGCAAAATATAGACAAGCCTTTACTTGCTGACGTGGCTGGAAATAGCTGCAAACTACCAGAAATACAATTCTTGTGGTTCACAGCAGAAGGCCCAATTTCTTCTCTCACAGTGTTTCCAAGTTACAGAAGTCTGAGCATTTTGGATACTCATCAAATACAGGATCTAAGGAAAGACAATCCCAAGAGTAAGATACAAAAATCCAGCCTGTTGGTTTAAGTGACCACATTTACTTCACTAGCTGACTGATCTAGAGATCAAAGTTAGTTGGGATTTCTTTTTCCAGCTGGAAGAGAAAGTTAATCAGAGGCTTTATAAAATTAGCACTCTACTTAATTTTGCATTTTCAGGTCATCTCTTCATGAAAGGTTTATTTTCTTTCATTAGAGTGAATTAGATACAGCAGCAGCAAATCTAATCTATTTTTTCACTTGGCAGCGTAAGAATTTGTGAAAATGTCTTGAAATTGCTGTCCTCTCCACTAAATTGCCTTTGCTCTTTAAAGCATGAGACAGCAGCAAAAGGAGAATCTCATTCTGTATTACGGCAATTCCTCAAGCATCTTTGGATGCTTGAAAGTAGATGTGGTGGCAGTAGATCAGGACATGGGACTGACAAAAATTGCTAGCAGCTTGCTTAGAATTAAGGAGAGGTTCCACAGACCTTTTTCCAGTTCTGTTTTCCAGTAACTGTGATTTTTTTCAGACTGATCCTCTAAAGAATTCTTCATTTGGAGAGTATTCCCTCTGCTGAGGGGTCTCCTCTCCCTCCCCGTGCCAACACAAATCCGTACAGCAGCACCTCCAGCCGGTGTTCTTGCCCTGTGCCCTGGGGAAGCTTACAGCAATGAGCGCTGTACAGGACTTGAGAGTAGGACCCTGAAACCAGGCTGAACACTCATTTGCTTTGAATACAATTACAGTATCAAAGCAGTCGCCCTTATGTTTTCAAACTAGGGTCCAGAATTTATTGAAATGAGCACAACATGCAGCATTGAAGCAAAACCAAGGCTACATTTTTTAACAGATGCTCTGTTATTTCAGTAGTGG